ACCTCTGCCTGGCTCATCACCTGCAGAGGACAACTTCTAGCTCTAAACCCCTGGCTCTTTTAAACTTTCAGAGAACAGTGAAGCCATTGAATGGGAGGAATGTCAAGGGAGTGAGGAGTGGCCAGGTTGCATTCCCAGAAACAATATGTAAAGTACTGCTAACAGCAGATAAGCATGCAGGCACATGTTATAGCATACAGCAGGACTGGACCTCCTTGGCCAAGTTTAGGATGGTGGCAGGTTTCATAAGTCTTCAGAAAGATGTCTGCTCCTTAGTGGGCAGCTGCAAAAGCTCGTGCATTTGTTCATGTGGTAAAAATAACCATGCCAATGCGGGAGAAGCCTTGTGGTGTTTCTCTTGCTTATTTTGCTTACTTTTCTGTGGCATATTTACATGGTTCAAAATGGCCTTTTTCCCTGGCAAGGAACAACTGTGATAGAAACCACTGTTCCTTGTACTGCTATAACCTAAGTCCTAGCTTGCAAGAACTGCCGACTATTTGTCATTAAGTCACATAAAGTCCTCCTCCACAGCAAAGCAAATAGAGAACCAGCACAACTAGGCCAATGGTTCTAGGCTAGCTTTCTACCAAGCATCAATGCAGGGATGGGAACCATCTTTCAGGACAATGGTCAATTCAGCTTCAGAGAAGCTCCTGGAAGCAATGGTGAGGCCGAAGGCAAAGGTGTCAGGGCCAAGAACAAAGGGGATGCAACCAGAATCTCCAACCTGGTGTCCTCTAGATGACTTGGACCACAATCTCGATCATCTCCAGCTAGAGTATATCCAATGTACCATTTGAAGACAATGATGTCTGCCCACTCCATGTCCTCATTAAAATTCTGTGACAGAAGTAGGGCAATGGCATCATAAAAATCCCATCTGGGAGCAACTTTTGTGGTTATTTATTTAGATTTATTAGATTTACATCCACCTTTTTTCTTTTTTAAACAACTCAAAATGGCTTATATCATTCTCCTCCTGCTGCTCTTGCTCATTACCACAGCAACAACCCTGTGAAGTAGGTTGGGTTGAGAGTGTGTGACTCCAGGTTGGCTCCACGGCTGAGCAGGAACTAGAACCCAGATCACCTGTCCCAGCCCAATCACTCTTAACCATTACACCACATTGGCTCTCTGTACCACTCTGTAAGCTGACAGACTAATGCAACCTTTCCCAACTTCCCACAGGTCACACTGGCTGAGGATAATGGGAGTTTTAGACCAACACTCCTAAAGGGGAAAGCCTGCACTAATGGGCTTACTAGTCCTGAAGTATATTACTTTGTCCTGGAGTACTTCTTACTACTGGGTTAGAAATGCAGGAAATAAAACATCCTCTGCTTTTGAAATTCTATGAGACAGGCCACTTCCTTTAAGGCCCTGTATGTCCATCCTGTAAATGGTGGGGCGAATCCCACCCCCACCACTATGCACAAAATGTTTTGTGAGCTGCAGCCGATGTGCACAGTTATACCCAGGGCAGCCCTGCTTTTCCAATAAAGGGTGCCTCCAGATGAGGCCCCCACTGTGCAATCACACTTCCCCATTCACTCTGGGATGGGGCTCCAGGTCTCTGGCAATGCAGCCAGACAGGTGGCCTGGGGAAATCCCAGGAGAGCTATGAATGCGAGGCAACATCTGCCCCCAACCCAGAGCATTCTGTGAACAAGGCAGGGTGATTGTAAAATAAAACCCTCAGGAGGAGCACCACTGAGGCTTTTGCTGAGAAAGGATAAGGTGCTGCCTCTGGGGCTTGGTGTTGAGTTCAGCAAACTGCTTTGCATATGGAGTGTGCCTGCGGGAAGCAGGAGGCATTAGCCCACAGGTGTAGTACATATCCCCCACCTCGAGCCTGCGCAAGCCACCCGGAGAGCAAGCAGCTGTGCACCAAGGCAAAGCAGGCAACAGGCGCACGTGCAAACTGCCCTGCCCACCCGCACCAGCAAGGGAGTGCTGCCGATGAAGAAGCAAAGGCAAGGATGAGATCCTCTTTGCTGAGAGGGGCCTCCGCAGGAGATCTGGCCCTGCCACACACATGATCATTCCAAGCAGAGAGTGCAGGGTGAAGATGATGAGGAAGATGGGATGGAGGTGGTAGGTGATGAAAAGATGTTGATGCCAGGAGGTGCTACACGCCCTGCTGAGCTGCGTCGTACCTTCCTCTGCGAATGTTCCTTTGCAAGCCGAGGAAAGAGAAGGAAAGAGAGAAGGGGAGGGGGGTTAGCAGGTAATATCCCACGGGTACATCTTGGCCTAGCTGCTTCCAATCTTCGTGCCACATGCCATGGTCGGTAAATGCAAAACCCAGCCATGCATGCAACATCTTCTTACCATCCCAGACAAGGTCCTATCACTACCGTTGTCGGGAACTGCTGTCAGATGATACAGTTCCTGCCAGAACTTGAAAGGGGTGCTGGAAATGCTAAGGAAATATGAGCAGCTGCTCCATACTAGTCTCCATGATGCAAGGACGTCAAATTCCTTCTCTGTGTTTGGCATTTCTACCGTATACATTGAATGTAAGCTGTTGCTTCTTTAAATGACATTTCCAGACCTCGTTGGTGCACTGGCAATTACATGTGCATTCTAAATATGCTCAATTTTAAGGGAATCTTGTAGGAGTTGCCAGTAGATTAGGAAGACAGGATTTCCCACAGAGCAAAGGTTCTTCATTTTCTTTATGCCACCCTTTCTGTTCTTGGCTGGTGCAACTCTGCTAGCCTGCACCAGTTGCTTCTTCTCATCACCATCATCATGTGGTTACAGCTGTCCCAGCCTGTGAGCAACCCTTCCCTCAAGGTATGTTTTGATCATCTTATATTTGCACCCTAAAACAACAGAACCCCAAATTCCTGAAGGGGATAATCTGGGGTGAGACCTGAAGATGCTCCAGAGAAAGAGTTGCAGACCTGGAAAAAAGGTGATCCTCTACAGTGGTTAGAAATCAAAGGGTCTATAACAGGTCCCTTCCCTCTCTTGCCCCAACGTCACCTTTTCTCCAGCATTTAGAACAGCAGTGCTGACAGGGTCTGATGTGCCTTACTTTCCAATGCAGTATTGTGGACTGACAGGCACATACAGCATACATTGCCAGTAATAAATTCTGTGGGAGGGGAATCCTGTGGGATCTGAGCCATTCATTTTGCAGGAGCCAATTCCTGCATGGCTCCTACAGTTCACTATCTTCTGGATACTCTGGTGAATAGCACTGCTCATTGATTCCAGAACTCTTTTGTCCCCCAGCTCACCTCCATGCCAACATCCCCGCTACCACCAGTACTTGAGTCATGCGGCTGTCATGTCAGATAACCCTTCTTCATCCATGCAAGTGTCAGTCCATGCAGAAAACCAAATAAGGAGGCAGCAGAGGCTGGTACGGGCCTGAGAGGTACAGTGAGCTTCTTCCAGCCATTAGGCAAATCCCCACCCCCCTCAAGTTGCCTTTGCCTTTCTTTCCTATACTGGGTTGACTGCTCCCTCTAAACAGCCCTATTCTCTTGAAGCAGGGCAGTGTTGTCTATCACTGAGGCCATTATGACATGACCTGATACCAAACGACACCTCTGCACAAAGCAAAACTACAGGATGGTTGGACCTCAGGCTTCCTCTACAGAATGGGTAGCCGGAGAACCTGGGTAACCTGAAGTCCAGTTCATTGAATGAGAGCGATGCTGAGAGTAGGAAAGAGCGATACATGTGATCAGACTGAAAGGAACAAAAAATGAGAACACTTTTAAACACTCCTCCTAACCCACCTCCTTCTCATGTTCAAGCAGGGAGAGCAGCTGTGCTTCCGTTGCTGCAAGTCCAGCCGGATGGGCAGAACTGGCTTGGGAGGGCAAGCTACTATTATATCAAAACTGCCAAAGCACCAGTGAACGACTGCAACTGGAAGTATCCATCAGTGAACTGCTTCCTTTTCAGTTTCCTGTCACTTGTCCCATTTAGGAGCACCCTAGTACCCATTTCATGCTACCTTTACTGATAGCAGAATCATCACAAAATAATCTTGACACATCACAACAGTGAACCTTTTCTTCCAGTGTCTCCACATGTGACAGTTGGCCTTTATCATAGCAAATCCTATGTATTCCATGTTCATTCTCCCCTCCCTCTCCATCAACATGGTAAATACTAGATTTTACCATAAAAAGTGTGCTTTCAATCTATATAACATGCACCATGCAATATGCATTGGGAGTCAAGAGTAAGCCCGACAAGTGGCCTAAGAGCAGACATGTAGTGAGCCCCAAAATACTGACTGCAGTAGCCACAGCTGCACAGAGGGGTGGAGCCCAAATATTCCCATAAAACTGATGCTTTCAACAGCTTGAGGCCTCTTTCCACCTTCCCTAAACCAGCAGCTGGGCTTTTCATATTTCTCTGCTGCAGGCAACCACTAACTGTCTGAGGGTGGATGCAGACTACCAACTGGTACCTCATTTCCATGGCTACAAGCACATCCCATGCACACCTTTCTTTCCCCACCCAGTGATGGCTACTTTCTGTGATTGTTGGAAAGCACCAGGATCATTGAAGGGGGGAAAGCAGTTAAGCTCTCAGCCAGTCTCCTGGTTCTCCTTCTCCTGTTCAGGACTCTGTAGACAAGGAAGAGGGTATTGGCCCCAGGCATATAATGAGCTGTCACGAACACTGAAGCTTCAAGAATCCCCCAGGCCTTTCCTACATACATGGGAAGATGCTATGCATCATGGAAACAAACTGGCAAACAGGTTTGGATGACAACTTCTGTTTGCCTGAAAACTGTGGTTGTGTGAATTCACCCTGAGAAAAAACTGCAAGAGCAGAAGGTGGGGATGGGTTGGCTATGCCTCAGCACAGTGTGCCTCTTCCGCAGAGCTGAGTGCAAGTACTATAGGGGCTCACCGCAAAGGGCATCTGTAGCAGAGCATGCAAGAGAGAGCCCCTTGGCAACACAGCACAAGGGCACAGCAAACCGGGAGGAGACACGGCATGCATATGCTGACGCTGCTTACTTAAATCCCCATCCAGTGCCACCAAGGACAATAGCAGCCACCAGGATAGCTCCAGCAATGGAGCCAATAATGATGTTGGTACCACTGGGACCTGTGGAGGAATGAAGGACAAAAACTGTAAAGGGTAGCTCAACAATCGGTTGACTGAACTCACACTGAAATGGATGGAGCATGCATTTGTGGCCTGATATGATGAAGGACACTCCTGTGGGTATAAGAACTTCTGGCCTTAACTGCTTGTTTAAGGGTGGCAGCCAGAAGAAGGTGTTGTTCTGCTGGGTAACTCTAGGACAGTCTTCCTGAAATAGTCATGAGACAAATGAACCTTGTGCTCAGAACAGAGCAGGATAAACAGATGACAATAATCTCATGACAGGTACTTGGCTTTCCTCACTCTCTAGCTAATACGGTAGGGAACTTGAATGATTTGATGAAGTTCCTGAGGAAAGGAACATTTGAGAAGTTCCCACTTTCTAAGGAGCTTCACAGATTGCTTTAACTGAGACAGTACATTTGAGAACTAACAAGAATCTAAACTGGAAGATTCTGCCAAACATGGCTGCTCTAAGATTCCTAACATGTCTTGCTGATAACTTCCTCCAACAGAAAGTGGAGGAAGGGACCAAAGAAACAGCTATTCTTGACTTGATCTTAACCAACAAGGAAGACCTAGTGGATGAAGTGACAGCTACAGGAACTCTGGGGAAAATTGACCATGCCATACGTGAATTCATGATTCTAAAGAAAGCAAAAGCATGTACCCTGGATTTTGGGGAAGCCATTTTTAAACTCAGAACAATGATAACCAAAGTCCCATGGCAAGTGACTTTACTTGAGAAAAGGAGTCCAGGATGAGTGAGAATTTTTTTTTTTTTTAAAGGAAATTCTAAAGGAACAATTACAAAAAAATCAAACAAGGAAAAAGGGTAGAAGACAAAAGAAGCAGCCTGTGTGGCGTCACAAAAAGCTTAGAGATGATCTCTAAAACAAAACCGGTGCATGAATAAGAAGTGGAAGGAAGGTCAGTCTACAAAGAAAGAATACAGGCAGGCTGTACAGAATTGCAGGGAAGGCGCCAGGAAGGCTAAAGCTAGGAATGAACTAAGGCTAGTGAGAGATGCTAAAAGCAACAAAAAGCCTTCTTCAAATATGTCCACAGTAAAATACAAAGGAAAGAAATAGGGGTTCAACTACTCGATGTGGATGGCAAAATAGTAATAGATGACAAAGAAAAGGCAGAAGTGCTCAATTCCTACTTTGGCTCAGTCCTCTTCTAAAAGAAGATCTATAACTTTCCCGATAAAGTACAACCTGAAGGAGCAAGATGGCAACTCAAGATTGATAAGTAATCTATCAATCATCTAATTGGTTTGAGTGAGTTCAACTCTCCAGGACTTGATGAACTCCATTCTAGAGTCATGAAGGAAGTGGTAGAAGAACTCTCAGAACCACTTTATATTATCTTTGAGAAATAATGGAGGATGGGGAAATGCCTGATGACTGGAGTGCTAATGTTGCCTCTATCTTCAAGAAAGGAAAAAGAAGAACCTGGGAACTACAGACCAGTCAGACAGACATCAATCTCTGGGAAAATTTCAGAGGAGTTTATAAAGCAGTCAGTCTGCAAACACCTTAAAAACAATGCAATGATTGCCAGAAGCCAACATGGATTTCTCAAGAACAAATTCTGCCAAACTAATCTGATTTCATTTTTTGATTGGGTAACCTCACTGATGGACTATGGAAATGCTGTGGATGTACTCTATCTTGACTTCAGGAAAGGCTTTGATGAAGCGTCCCACAATATCATCATTACTAAACTAACTAAAAGTGGGCTAGATAGAACAACTATCAGGTGAATCCACAGTTGTCTACAGAATCAGATGCAAAGAGTGTTCATCAATGGCACCTCCTCAGACTGGGGAGAGGTAACAAGTGAGGTATCATAGGGTTCAGTCCTGGGCCCGGTGCTCTTTAGCATTTTTATTAATAACTTGGAAGAAGAGGTGCAAGGAATGTTGATCAGATTTGCAGATGACACAAAACTGGGTGGGATAACTAATACCCTGGAAGACAGTTATAAAATTCAAGGTGATCTTGATAGGCTGGAGCACTAGGCTGAAAACAACAGAATGAAATTCAATGGGGATAAATGCCAAGTTCTGCACCTAGGAAAAAGAAACCATACAAGATGGGGAATTCTTGGCTCAACAACATGGCAAATGAGAAGGATCTTGGAATTGTTCTAGATCACAAGCTGAATATGAGTTAATAATGTTATGTGTCTGTAAACATGATAAATTCTATTAAAGGCTGTGTTAATAAAAGTATCAGTTCCAAATCCTGTGAAGTACTAGTTCCCTGTTACTCAGCACTGGTTTAGGCCTCACGTGGAGCACTGTGTCCAGTTCTGGGTACCACAGTTTAAGAATGATGCAGACACACTGGAAGGGATTCAGAGGAGGGCAATAAGGATGAACTGGGGACTGGAAACAAAGCCCTATGAAGAAAGATTGAAAGAACTGGGCATGTTTCACCTGGAAAAGAGAAAACTGGGGTGAGATATGATGGCACTTTACAAGTACTTGAAAGGTTGTCACAAGGAGGAAGGCCAGGATCCCTTCTTGATCATCCCAGAGTGCAGGACACGGAATGATGGGCTCAAGTTACAGAGAGCCAGGTTCCAGCTGACAATCAGGTAGACTTTCCTGATTGTTAGAGCAGTATGACAATGGAGCCAGTTAGCTAGGAAGGTTGTGGGCTCTCCCACCCTAGAGGCATACAAGATACAACTGGGCAGCTATTCCAGAGGGATGGTTTAACCTGAAGTCTTGCCCTGAGCAGGGTGTTAACCTGATGGCTCCTTCCAACTCTAGTATTCTATGATTCTTTTCTATGATTTTCACTAGGAAAATATTTTTCTATGATTTTCACTAGGAAAATAAAGAGAGGTCATTGCTAAGAAGCCATCATACCTGTGGTGGTTGCGGGGCGGGGGGAGACACCCTATTCCACCCTTTCTGCTTCTTAATTAAGTGAGGTAAGGTTCCTGCCATTTTCAAAAGAACCTCATTTTGTAAATTTACCTTTGTACTTTTCTGTCTCCCCTGTAGGCTTAGGCTCTATGATAGGGTCATAGACACTGCAATCTTTTCCTGTCCAGTCAGGATAGCAGATACATTGGCCTTCGTTGCTGCAGACCTATAACCAAGGAACAGCATGTATGTGGTGGTCCTTGAAGACCTTCTTATCATGTCTTGTCTAGATCCTAAAAATTCCCACTGAAAATTTTCTTTAAAAAGTTATAAGTTGCTTTCCACCAAGGAAGCACAGTTATCCTTACAAGATGGGATTTCAAAAACTGCTTCAAACAGCAACAGAATAAAAACAGACACAAAGCATATTTTTCTAGCCCTTTTTCTTTGGGGAGTTAGTTCTTGAATGAGACTATCATAAAATAAAGTCAATCTGTCCATCAATTTGGGTTTGGCAGCAGATTATATACGTATAACTGATATAAAAAGCATATGGACTGAGCCAGGATATACTTCTTTATAAGCCTCAGTTTATTTCCAAATTCTGAAAAACTTAAAGACAATAACTCCTTTAACTTCAACTTTAAAACTCCTGCTACCTTTCCCTAGAGCTTGGCCCATGAAGAAAATAAAGTCAAGGAAAGTCAAGCAGATAATTCAATATTTGCATTCATTCAGGTCACACTCCTACTCCTATGCTAAAAGGAAAAAGTTTACAAAGTGCCAGGCTTCCACACTTCTATTGCAGTATATGTAAATTTTACCCCATGGTCAAAGCAGATCTGGCTGCCCCAGCTGCCTGGGCAGACGCTGAAGTTAAAGGCAGAAACAGGAAGGCATTTGTGATCAAGACACAGCATACTGGGCCCACAGGGAGTCCCATCTTCCACATAGCTTATATCTGTGCCATCCACAAGTTGCACGTGGCCACCCCTAGAACAGGGAAAAAAAGCGTTTGACTGTGTAGGTGGAAAATCCCATTGCTTCATGAAAGGAAAAAGCCCCCTCAATCATGATGCTGATAAAAGGGGAATATGAGTGGTGTCCACTAGCTACTTCTTTTGACATTTCCCTTATCTCATGATAAACAGCAATTAGGGATGCCAGCAAACCACATGGAAGTTGTGGTTCTGTGCCTGCAGGACACAGAAACCGATCTGAAACTTGGCAGTGTGGGAAGAATGGGTCTGAAGATGGACTGTACCAATTCTGAAGTAGAGAGGGCTCCTTAGGAGACTGACAGTATTGTCTGATTCCTGATTCCACCCCTCAGACTTACACTGAGTTTATGTTGTATTTGTTTGTTTGTTTATTAAATTTATAGACCACATCTATAGACCTATTAGGGCTCTCTCGGTGGAGTACATTTCCATTACAACCAACAATTCATTACTACAGCAAAAGTTTGTAGTAACTTTTCTGTCTGTACAGTGTCTTTCAGAAGCAGTTAGTCATCTTGTGTAACAGAAGAAGGTGTACCTATGAAGTATCTGCCAGAAGAAGTATTAATTGTTTGTAAATTTTGGGGGGAAAGTTTCATATTTTTCCTTGCACATTTTAGCCTACATAGTTGATAAGCTCCTAAGTGCAGAGTGGGAGGGGGAACAGAACGGGATGTGGGTGTTATCAGTCTTTTAGACAGTATAGCATATTTTAATGTTTTAATCTATGTAATTAAGGGCTACTGGATCAGTTCTCCATTATCCACAAACCTTTCTAATCTTATTTATGCATTAAAAACATCCCTCAGCAGGTTAGCACGACAAGGGGAAAGCGAAGGAGAAGGAGATCTAGAGTGCAAGATCCCACTAACCTGCAGTCAACGTAACGTTTCTGATGGTAGAAAGTCATTGTAGTGATTTCGCCAAGAAGTTCACCAACACGTGGAGATCCTGTCACATTGGCACAGAGGAGGTATCCACACAGCACATCCCTGAACAAAGTAGGAGGAGAGACTCATTCATTGAAAGAAAGGTTTGATTCTACACCAGCTTGATGGCTGTGACACTGTGACCACTTGCCTCCGTGGTCTGGTGCAGTGCACTGCAGGGAGGGAATACAGTGCATTACAGGAAAAGGAGAAACCTTAAATTACTCACTGCTTGATACATGGCACCCAGCGGTTTCCCTCATGCCCACAGTTCCCTCGTTCAGTGCCTTCAACATTCAGCTTCTCATAGCACAACCTTTCAGCTGAAGCTTGGGTCCCAAGGAAGGGAGGGAGGGAGGGAGGAAGGAAGGGGGCAGTCAGAAAACATAAACCCATACTTATCTGTGCCCTGAGCCCAGTACGCCTGACATTCCCCAATGCAAGTAGTAGTTCATTGGACCAGCTGCTTTAAAAGCAACTCTGGCAAATACACAAAAAATGCAGGATGGAAATGCTTCCTGGGTGGGCTTCCCTAGGACTGAACATTCTTTTCAAAGATTTAGGCTCAAGAGATTTTGCAATAAATGGACTGCAATTCTTCCATTAATCAGCAAGTGTTGCTTGTGTTTTCAGATGCTGAGAAAAGAAAACCGTTCAGTTTATTATTGTGACATTGGGACATGCAGGGCTTTTGAATATAACTTTTAACCAGTCCTAGTGAGAATTTTGGATTTAAAAAACGAGTGAATATTTGTCTTATAGTTTCACATAAATAATATCTGCATTAAAATTGAAGGGGGTGATATGAATCCAAAATGTTCCTACCAAATGTTCAGAATGTAACTTCATTAATAACATCTATAGCAGGTCTGTGGGATTTTATTTTTACTTTTGGGGAGTGAAATTTTCTGAATGGAGTGGTCCAGAGTTGGATAAGTGTATCCATATTTTGATACCTAAGCCAAGGACAGAGGCTTTTAGTGATTTGTAAGTGTCTTTGAAAGTCTTTTCAACTGAAGAGGATAAAAACAGTTTTAATTAACTACATATACTTCAGTGCTGACTTTCTTCTTTCCCTCTTTCATGATGGGGCTGCCACAGCCAGAGGGGAAAAGGTAATGGAGTTGGGTCCCAATGAAACTTTCCATGGAAACCACTGATTAGTTCTTGATGGGCAAGAAGGCAATTATACCCCAGTCAGATTATCTAAGGATCCTCCGAGACTGGTGGCTTTCTTTTCTTCTGCTGCTTCTGCTTCTCCTTCTTCTCTGTTGCCACTCAAAGTGGAGTTTGAGTCATTTAGAGACACTGATTTCATTGGGTGTCTTGAAGCACTTATTCTCTGTTTGTAATAAGCAAGTTTGTAATAAGTTTGTAATAAATCTGGATTGCAAATGCTGAACAAATGGAGGGTGCTCTGAGGTGGTAGCAAGTGGATTCCAGACTCATAATTCCACTGAGTGCATTCCAAGGGCACAGAATCATACAATGGTAGAGTTGAAATGGGCCCATAAAACCATCGAGTCCAATCACTTGCTCAATTCAGGACTCCAAGTCAAACAACCCCTGACAGATGGCTACCCAACAGCATCTTGAATATTTCCAGTGTGGGACAACCCACAACCTCCCTAGGTAATTGGTTCCATTACTGTACTGCTCTAACAGTCAGGAATGTTTTCCTGATATCTAGCTGGAATATGGCTTCCTGTAACTTGAGCCTGTGCTCTGGGATGATTAAGTGACTCTGACCTTCCTTCATGAGATTTTTAATATTTTCAAGTTTTGAAAAGTATTATTATATCTTTCCTCAGTTTTATCTTCTCAAGCCTAAACTTGCTCAGTTCTTTCAATCTCTCCCCAAAGGGCTTTGTTTCTAGTCTCCTGATCATCTTTGTTGCTCTCTCCTCTGAATTTTTTCCAGTTGGTCTGCATCTTTCTGAAACTGTGGAGCCCAGACAAGTCAAGGTGGGGCCTAACTAGTCCCAAATAAAGGAGAGCCAGTGTGGTGTAGTGGTTAAGAGCATGAGACTGGGACTCTGACGACCTGGGTTCTAGTCCCCGCTCAGTCCTGGAGCCAACTGGGTGACTGGGCCAGTCACAGACTCTCAGACCAACCTACCTCACAGGGCTGTTGTTGTGGGGATAAGATGGAGGAGGAGATGTAAGCTGCCTTGAGCCCTTTGTAGGAAAAGGCAGGATATAAATCCAAAAATAAATAAATAAAATGTAATTTGGAAGCTATATTTCTACTAAAGAAGTCCAAACTAACATTTGCTTTTGTTTGCAGCCACATCACATTGTTGACTCATACTCAGTTTGTGGACTACAACTATTCCAAAATATTTCTCACTGGTTATACAATAGAGCCAAGTATCTCCCATTTTGTAAATATGTACTTGGTTCCTTTCCCCCTTTTCCTTGGCATTTGTCCCTGTTAAATTTTATTCTGTGCTTTTACACCCAACACTCCAACCTATCACTTTAAAAATTGTTTCTGTCTTCAGGGTATTAGTTAACCTACCAAATGTTGTGCCATCTGCAAGCATTTCCTGCACCTCTTCATCCAAGTTATTAATAAAAATGTCAAAGAGCACTAGGCTCAGGACTGGGTCAGTAATACCTGTCTTATTACCTCTTCCCAGGTTGAATAGGTGCCATTGAGAAGCAGTCTGTGTGTCTGATTCTGTAGCCAAGTGCAAATCCACCTGATAGTTGTTTCATCTAGCCCTATTTTAACTGGTTTTCTGTCATGAAGCACACTGACAAAGGCTTTGCTGAGGTCAAGATATGTCGACAGTATTCTCATAATCCAACAGGGAGGTTACATGATGAAAAACTGAGATCAGATTATTCTGGCAAGATCAGTTATTGACAAAGCCATGCTGGCTTCTAGGTTCACTTAAGGCTGACTATAATCTGTTCCAGAATTTTCCCAGGGATTGACCAGCTGATTTGTAGTTCCCAGAATTCTCCCTTTTGACCTCCTGGAAGATAGGGACAACATTAGCCCTCTTCCAGTCATCTGACACTTCACCTGTTCTCTATGTTTTCTCAAAGCACATAAGGAAAGCCATGCTGTATTAGACAAAAGGTCCATCTAGTCCAGCACTCCAAACCAGCTGCCCACAGGATCACCTTAGCAGGATGGGTACAAGACCTTTGCCGACCCAAGCTCCTCAGCAAGTGGTGCATGCAGGCAGCCACCTCTGGTAAAGGAAGTAGCACATGGCCAGGAAGACTAGTAGCCGCCTCCCTCATTAATCTGTCAAACCCCCTTTTAACGCCATCCAAATTGGTAGCCATCACCACTTCCTGTGGCAGTGATTCCATTGCCTTTTGCCTTTTTCACAACACTGGACTGACATTTTCCATCAAGTTGTCTACTACTACCCAAAGATCCCTTCCTTGCAGTCACTGTTAGCTCAAATCCCATATATTTGAAGCTGGGATTTTTTTGTCCCAACACGTATTACTTTACTTGCTTGCTGATACTGAATTGCATTTGCCATTTTGATGTCCATTCTCCCAGCTTGGAGAGATCTCTCTGGAGCTCCTCACAATCTCCTTTGGTTTTAACCACTCTAAAAGTCTAGTGGCATCAGCAAATTTGGCCACTGCGGTACTTATTCCTAATTCCAGGTCATTTATGAATAGGTTGAAAAGTATTGGGTCTAATACAGAACTTAATAGATAATATAGGTAGTGGATCTGAGAGTTCTTCTACTAGTTCCTTTCTTACTCTAGGATGCAGTTCATCAGGCCCTGGATATTTGAACTCATTCTTTGACCATTTGTTTATTAGTCTCAAGCTTCATTCCTACTCCTTCAGTTTGTACTTCATTTCCACTGAGGGTGGCGGGGTCATAGCCCTGCTTTTGGGAGAAGACTGAGCAAAAGTAGGAATTAAACCTTTTCTTTGTCTTTTTTTATCAGTTTGTCCTCCTCATTGAGAAGTTGAGCCACCATTTCCTTTCTCTGTATTCTACTGCGAACACACCTGAAAGAAAAAGCTTTTTTGTTGTTTTTGGCATTCCTTGATAGCCTCATCTCATTCTCAGCTTTTGCCTTCCTGATGGCATTCTTAAAATTTGTGTTTTGTCTGTCTTTGCCTGGCCTTCTTTCCACTTCCTATACATATCCTTTGTTGTTGTTGTTGTTGTTGTTGTTGTTGTTGTTGTTAGGTCAACCAAAAGTCTGTTTTTGAGCCATACTGGTTTATTCTGTTGTCTTCTATCTCTTGTTTTTGACAGAATTTGTTTGTAATTGTGTCTTAACAATTTCCTCCTTTTAAAAAGTCCCTCTGATATTGAACTCATTTTTTCCTTAAGGTCATTTGCCATGGAACCTTACTTATCATTGTCTTGAGTTTATTAAGATCAGTTGTCCTACAATCCAAAGTATATGTATGGTCTCACTCAGTTTTTGCTTCCTTTAAAATCAAGAAGTCAAGTATGTGGTTCTCCTGTTGATACCACATTTGTAATCAACTCTTTACTCGAAGTATTTTTCTTTCCTTTTCTATTGTTCTTCCAAGAACTGGAAGGATGGATGAGAAAACTGTCTAAGCTGCAAAGTCCTTTAATTTCTTTCCCTGAGCATCAAAACCTGATGTGATTTCTTTATAGCTCCATTTGGTAGCATCATTTGTTCACACATGGATTAGAAGTAAGGGATAACTGTCCATGGGCTTTATTTGGCAATCTTTCTATCACATCTCTAATCTTAACTCTAGAGAGACAGAATACCTGCTGAGTTTATGAATCTCCACAACTCACTTGGATTTCAATCCCATGCAACAAGAAGTTTCCCACAATTACCATTCTTCTTTTCTTCTTGGTCTACTGATTTTCCACCAATTGCTCCCTATTGTACAGTTTCTCTTGTAAAATTATTCTTCTGAGGGCTGTCCTCCAGTGGCTGAAAGCAGTTACTTAGGTCTAGAAGTTCTTCTGGTGCAGAGTGTCTTCCAATTTCTCTGCTCCAAACTGTTGTCCTTCTCCAGAGAGATTCTTCATCAGGTTTTCTCAACTCAGCATTCTCCATATCTGCTTCAACCTCCTGTTGATCTTCCATCTCTGTGCTTGTTGTTGTTCCTGCAGTTCCATTGTTCTGTTCAAGAACTCTTCACTTTCTCTTACTCCTTGGAAGGTAGACACCATCTGCACAAGCACGATCATTTTTTCCCCCCAAGAATGCGACCAGCTGCATTTGTTGCAGGTATGCAGCATGTTACTCCAAGGAGGAACATTAAGATTGCACTCATTTTGCAAGTCACTACTGATGGAGACTCCTTTCCATCCATTGTGTGCTATGGAGGAAGTGAAAAATGAAAGTAGATCTAATGACTTCCATGCTGCTAGTTGCACAGGCCACTGACTTGAGCCTCTCAGTCAAAGTCCAACTTCTCTGCTGCTGATGGTGACCTGCTCTCACTTCCCAGAATTCTTCAGGCACATGCAGATTATCCCTACCACCTCCACATCTTGGCAGAAAACCATATTGCTGGTTTCAGTGAGCTATCAAGTAGAGGAAAACACTTTGATAGCCTGGTAATGGGAACAGCTTTTAGCTCTGATGTCTTGCTATTCAATTATTAGAATCAGTTATTAGCATGTCCCACAGGAGCCCCTTGGTCAGACACACATGGAAGGGCTTTCTCCTCTGTTGCTCCCAAACTGTGAAATGAACTCCTTCAAGAAGTATGATTAGTTCCATTCTCTTGGCTTTTAAAAAACGTGTGAAGACGCATCTTTTAAATCTAGCCTTTTAAATTATGTAGTTATCTTAATGTTTTGAGTTATATCATTTTAAATTGTTGTGCAATGCCTTGATGTGCTAAACCCTCATTGACCTCAACATTTGTCACAGCCTCAGGATTGTCTTATCTGTCTCCACTTATCCAAACAATTAACCAACTCCAATTAAGTTTGTCAGGTGGAAAGCTTCTAGGCCAGAGTTGAAACAATCCACTCCCCTACCCTTTTCTCCTCCTGCTGTAGCAAGCAGGACTTTTAGCTATGCCCTGTCATCAGTCAGAGTGAGAGCATGCACAATGGGTCAATGGAATTAATATCAAGTTGGGAGACAATACATTGACCTGCACATTTTAAAGCTAGAGATCTGGAGCTGGAAATTCTGTTTCCAGCTGCCGTTGGTGTTTATGGGCATGGGATGTCATAAGCATGTCACTACAGCATCCCCAAGACATATAAAGAAGAATGTCAAAGAACATATTTACCACGTCCCCACAATGCATTGCACTGGCGATCCCTAGTTTTGCAACGGCCTCCGAAACACCTGCCCTGCAGAATACAAAAAAAGACTTATTAGCAAAGTTACATTAGACCTTCTTTGATGCATTTGTGGACAAATTCAAATTTATGGGATCTAAAAGTGCAAATTCAGCTACTGTGACTCCTACAGTACTAGGGTAGCCAAGGGGATAAATTCTAATTTAGAAAGGGACTCAGGGTTGCACTCCAGAAGTCAGTGGTGCTATGGTCAAAGGACTTGATAAGATCAAAGTGTGTGGGGCCAGAGATACTTCATATTTTCTCACAAAGAATCTAATACACAGCTAAGTCCTGTGGATTCCTATTCAGGACTAATCCACAGTCTCAGAACACAAAATAAAGCCACTTTCAAAACATGCATGTCTAGTTTCTCCTTACAGGACTGATTTAAATGCCCTGGCATTTTTTACATATTTGAAGAATAGCGCATGTAAAGTTTCAATGTGTTTACATTCCCCTCATCCCTAGTGGCGAAATCTAATTAACTTTATTAAAAAGAGTCGCAGAATGTTCTATAGACACACATCTCAAAGACGATTTTTTAAAATATAGGTTGAATAAGCAGCTGTTTTCCTGCTTCTGGTGGTTAACGGCAGGATAACTCACAGCATCCTTTCCACATAAAGGTTTTAGGTTAGAATTACATTCATTGACTCCTGCGCCATCTAACCAAAACAAGCCCAGAAACACAGAACTCAACAGAATAAAACCCAAACTGCATGCAATCTTCCATATGATGATATAATGACTTTGTCCATGTATTGGAAAACTGAGCATGATTTGGAGCATCCCTAAATACCTGTCAGTTAAAAAAGATCAATAATTTTAATAAGAGGAAGGAAAGAAAGGAAGAAATAACTTAAGCTACAGATAAAACTCTGTAAGAAATAACCCTCTTACGGTGAAGTTGAAAAAAAATTCCCCATGGCCTTCTTAGTTTACTATTTACAGAAGCAAGATGGCATAGCCGCAAAGACAAGTGTGCGTGTGTAACCCTTATGAAATATTGATATAGCCCAAAGGGGTGGGACTAAGAAAGAGCCAGGCTCTTTGAAATTTGAATCAAAAAGAGCAGGAAAGCTGAAGAGGCAGGAGCTGCTGTTGCCACTAAGGCCCATGCTAACTTGGTCCTGGTATAATTCCTACACGTTCGTGTTGGGGGGTGAATCCACATAATGAATTCATGTATATCTTGAATTGGCATTTTATTCCAGGGTTTTGAAGATTCAAGCACATGGAGCTGACTCTTCTGTGTTGTGGATACTCTGACCAGTTGAAGAGTACATTTTATTATTTATTATTTATTTATTTAGTAAACTTCTATGCCGCCCCATTTGCTGAAGTCTCGGGGTGGCTTACAACAATAAATAAATACATATAATCATATAAAAACAATATAATTGGAAATGCCCTGGCCAAAGATAATCAATAAATAAGCTAACAATTAAAATGCCGTTTAAATAAAATGGTCTTGGCCTGGCGCCAAAAAACATATAACGATGGTGCCAGGTGGACCTCTCTGGGGATCACATTCCATAGATTGGGCGCCACCGCAGAGAAAGCCCTCCTCTGGGTACTTACCCTCCTAATTTCCTTCACGGAGGGTTCCCGGAGAAGGCCTCTCCCGCTGATCTCAAGGAGCGGGAGGGCACGTATGGACGTAAGCGCTCCTTTAGGTAACCAGGACCCAAGCCGTTTTGGGTTCTTTTGTTTGCTTTTGTATTTATTTATTTATTTATTTATTTATTTATTTAAAACAGTTATATCCAGTTGATACCAAACAGGTCTCAAGACGGCAAAGGACACTTGAACTTTACAGCTCCCCAGCTAGTTTTTGTATTGGTGCTCTTGTCAGGGACTTGGGTGCACTTAGTATTTTGTTATTATTATAGTTGTTTGTACGGTTTTGTTATATAATTATTGAAAAGAAGAAGTACATTTTGTATGTAAGGTTGTATTGCAATGTTCATTAGTGAGCCTGCCTTCATGTTTAGTGGATTCAACACATTTGACTGATGGTGGCTTGTTCAATACTCTGAGATAGTTCCTGTACCTTTTAGAGGTACTCAGTGGAGACATTGCGATCAAATGTGGTGTTTGCGTGATAGTAGTGCAGTGATGGGGGAAACTGTATCTGACAGAATGTTCATCTTCTTAAAGGCACAAATGGTCACTCTTGATGTAGACCTGCAAAGTCTCGCTGTACCTGTGTCCTGCCTGTCACTGCTTGCTCTCCTGCCCTGATGCTGACTCTTACTTGGCTCTATATAGGCTGTGCATGGCACAGAGACATGGCTATAACTGCACAGAGACAATTACACCTGTCAGTGGCTGCACTGCTTGAAATTCTGCCTATGGTCCTTGAGCATGAAGCTGAGATACCAACCTTACCTGCTCATTGTCACAAAAGTAGCCATCCTGTTTGTGCAAATTGGGTGGACACTAGAGAAAGGGGAAAAAACACACACACATAAAGGAGAGATAGAATATTATGTTGGACAGATCAAGACAAAACACAGCTCCCTTAAAGAACTAAATTAACTACAGCCAGGTCTTTGCATAACTTGGACTTTGGGGTGGGTTTTCTAGACTAGAGGAAGGGGCTTTTAGACAGATTTTGTTCCAGGCACCTCTAATTTTAGAAATTAAAGCCCTCACATTTTTGAGAACAGCACACAAGAGTGACCAAAAGCTCAGTTGCCTGACCAGAACTATAGAGTTTTTTTTTCCTTTTCTTTTCTCCATTATTGTATCCCTGCCTTGCAACTTACCTGACTAGAGTCACCAGTGCAGGTTTCAGGGATGTCGCACTCATTCACAGCTTCTCTGCAAGTGACTCCACGGGGCTCGTACTGCAAAGTGGGAGATGGCAGAGAAGCAGGAGAGTAATTTCATATTGGCTGGTAACGGGAGAAGCCAGGCAAATGAATCTACTGTTGTAAGAGGAGAACAGCAAACAAACTGCATAGTCTATCCCAACTTTCCTCCTTTTTCTCTTTAGTGCAAGAAGAGATGAGAATTATAATTCCCACTGTGACAGAATCCCCCCATCTGATAAGCACAAAGAAGCAGCACTCGTTGCTCTCTGCATTCCTACCTTCTTTACCTTCCTTCTTTTGACTAAGGAAAAGAACAGAGTGCATGGACTGTACATAATGCATTTGATGGATGAAGGGCCAGGTGGTTTCAGTCTCTCCAATGGCCAGCTGAAATTCGATACATTCTATTACTTCTAATCTGATTTTACTTGAATTTCATTCTTATATCATTGCTAATCACATCTACCAGCTGATCCAGGTGACACAGAAGCCACGCTGAACCAGGAATCAGATTTTTTCCATTTGCCTTTTCTTTTCATCTCCTTGTCAAACATCTTTGTGTTTTTCTTAACTGGATCTTGGTGACATTGGCAGGAAGATATAATATGGGCAAATCAGCCCAAGTGTTCTGGGTTGGCATGTTGTACTCACAACCTATGGGTCAATCATAGGTTATTTGCAGAAAGCAGACATTAGTATGCTCCACAGGCAGCATGTTTGCTCTTCCTCATACCTGGCAAATCTTGGGGTAATTAACATGTGAACTGGCCCAATGGATTCATAGTATGAGTCTTCTCACTAAGAATATGGAGATATGTTTGTTGCTAAGAGAACCTAAGGCCATGATAACCTTGAAGACAGAATTTTAAAAAGAGGGTACTTGGAGAAAAGAATGAGAGAAAGGTGTATCTGCTGCTTCAGATGGGACTTTTGGGCCCTGAGTGGGAAAGACAATGAGACCTTACAGAGAATGAAAGATTTTTCCCCACAATGTGAGATTCATTTTTATGCTTTATAACTTTTTGTAAGATATAACAATATTGGTTGTATAATAAAAGAGCCAGACTGGGAGAGCAGAACTCTCTTCTTTTATTATTTCACTATTTTGTCTTCTGCTTTTGTCGATGATTTTGCAGTTGCATTAAAACTTGCAAATTTGGGGACCTAGATCTATCAGCATATTAATACATATCTGTTCAGAAGCTATTCAAACATATAACCATTCTACACCATGCCACATGTTCCTAATAGTTAAGGAATTTATTTCTTGGGTGGAGATGATGGAAGCCTGCATAATATGGTCCTCTAGTCTGAATAACAACCTAGATAGGCAGTAGCAAACACACAGAGCTGATCTAAACTTTGTCTAAAGAAAGAAAATGCTTTGTTCACAACTGGTGCCGAAAGACTGGAAGCCACCTGCCTATTTCCATGGGAGACACCTCTTTCCAATCCCAGTTTGGTTCCCCGCCTCACTCTTTACCTTGCACCCTCGGCAGCACAACCCATCGCTGCACATGGCATCATGTGTAAGTGTGCACTTCTTGCAGCAGTTTCCACCAACCTTGGAGCATTCCTTTGAGAACAAGCAAGAAAAAGGAGGCAGCTGTAAAATGCTGGGAAGAGATCAGGTATTGGATGCCAAGGTAAAGTTTTTGTGTTGAGGTTGAATCTGGGCCCTCCCTCCACTCGAGAATTTCAAGTTTGCTCATAACATGAACTAAGCGCAATTCACCAAGTACATTATTTCCCATCAAGGTGGGTTCCCAAATGTGCTCCTTTTGATGTGTGCAAACTTGTACATTCATTAAAGTATTCTTTAAACTTTGGCAACGTGTATCTTTGACAAGGTGAAGCCCAGTATAATGAGGAACTTATAAGGTGCCATACCCACTGCTGCCAGTATCAGGGAGGGTGCAGGGGCTGCCCTTACACAGAGAAGTCTGCTAACAAGTGGTTCAGTGATGGAAGCCATTCTATCAGGAACATGTTTTTCTTCAAGACACAGAAGCCCACTGAGGGTGCAGTCTGGAAAGATTAGCAAAAGGTGAGTGTACCTTCACCTCACCTGCTTTCCTGCTTTTACCTCTAGATCCCTCCAGCTAATACTGCCTTTTGCTCCTACCTATATTTGCTGGTCCTGCCCTGTGGGCAATCTTATCTAACTTGAGTGGTACTGGTCGGAGTGCCCAAATCCATGTATATACATGCCTTTTAGACTTTCTCCTCAAATACCCCAGCCTCTGGATGCAATATGAAGCCCTTAAGCACACACTCAGGAAACTCCAATATGGTGCCAAAGTCAGCAGCAGCCCCACATCAAGTCACTGTCAAGTTTCAGTCCTACTTCTTGCTTACCGCCAGGGACCCACAGTCACATTCTTCTCCTGCTTCCACAAATCCATTGCCACATTCAGGGGGATCAAGAAGCTGTGACAAGTGGGGTTGGGGAGAGATGTAAAATCATCATTAGGGTCTTCCAAGACACATTCACTTTTGCATGCATTTACTTGTAAAGTTTTATATTCGACTCCCACCTCCAATTCATGCTTGGCCAGAAATGACTATCTTTGTGGTCTTAGTTTCATTTACTGTGAAAGTGGAGGCAGCAGTGGATTTGTTGTTGCTGTTGCTTTTAAGTTATACTGTTTTAAACAAACTGCTCAGTTTCTGACCCAGTTAGTAGCCCAGTGGGTTACCATTGTCAGACACTATCTTACTTGGAATGATAGTTTTGTTAGTGGTAATGAAACGCTTTCAAATAATAATTTGACTACAAGTACATAGCAACCCTTCTAAAAAGTGGCATCTGTGGAAGGGCAGAACCATCTGCAGACAGAAGTGGTCTGGCACTGCCAACCAGAAAAGGCCTCATGTACAGTTCTTCTGTCTTTTGCTCCTGAACAGATTTTCAAAATTAAAGAAAAGGTAGAACCACATGGTATAGTGGTTAGAGTGTTGAACTGGTACTAGGGAGATTCAGGTTCTAGTCCCCACTCAGCCATGGAGCTCATTGGGTGACTTTAGCCCAGTAACTTGCTCTCATTCTAACCCACTTCACAGTGTTGTTCTTATAAGGCTAAAACAGAGAGGATAATTATATAGCCTGTTTTTGGTTTCTTGCAGGTGAAAGTAGGATATAAATAAATTATAAGAAACAGATGGAGAACATGGCAATGCTACTCGGGCCTACAATGGCATCTGGACCTCCCCCCATAAAAGCAGCTTCTAGAAGCGTGGCATGGTGCCTCGTGAACATACGACACAGTGTCCGCAAGGCTGCTCTACACATTTCCTCAACTGGAAAAGGATGCTGCAGTGGCTGCTCCCCTGAGTGAACATGCTGCAGTGCATGTGGGATGGCTTCCTGCCCAGAGATTTTCATGCTTACAGGAGGAATGTTTTCATGGTTGCACCAGCTACAATGCCATCCATGCAAATAGATGGCTTTCTAAAAGTACACCACAGGTGCCTCGGGCCTTGCGAGGGCAGTTGGGAGGCTCATCCCATGGCTGCAGTTCTGAAAAGGATGCCCCTTGCCCTCCTGTTGCCTGCCACCTTCACAGCAAAAAAGCAACCATCTGGTTTGGCCCTTAGAGACCTGGATGACATGGTGCGAGAGCAGATCTTACTCGGAGGGAAAGGGATGCTCCTCCTGCCTCCATCTCATCAAAGCAAAACCACTTTCTCAGTTTGTCAGGTATGAATGCCAGAAGATCAAAGGAGGAGCTATGAGCTCCAAAAGAAGGGTATACAGAGTTCAGATCGGAAACCTGTTCTGTGGGTGGCTTAATCACAGCTTGTCTTAATTGCTTACTAATTTGAAATATGTTAAGAACATTTTATTTTGTATTTAATACATTTATGAAGCACACATGGTGCCTAACTGTCACACTGCACCAGGAACCCATCATCTGTCCTGAGTGACAGCTCAGACAAAGAGGCCTGGCCTGATGAAAAGTTGGTCACATTTGGAAATAGTTGACCAGCATCTTGGAGCTAGAGAACTAAGTCCAGAAGAGCTTGGGCACAAATAGTAGGTCTCTTTAGAATGTCCTCCCCTTCAGATGTTGCTTCCTGATTGCCTTTTCCTGAAGACATTCACTCCTCCTAGAGAATGGAGGATGGGGAAGTTGGGGAGCCAGGTGAGGACTGTTCCCTAGGATCTTTCTGTTCACTTGAGGAAACCAAAGCCCACTCCTCAGAGTCAGAAGGGAGTGACACTTCTTGGGCAGTGTATGGACCAGACATGGGCTGATTCTGGTGCTCCCAGAGTCACTGTCACTAGAGGATTCAGTCTCTGAGGGATGCCAATCCAGGGCCATGGCACTAACAGGCACCCAAGGTGACATACAAGAAAAATATTATTTAAAACAATAAACACAGGAGCATAACCCTGAATTGTCATGAAGGGGTAAATTCATCCTTTGGTGAAAGGAGAAACAGATGGCTCAAATCAAAGGTTTGTTCACAGCCCCCCGCACCCAAGAATTCCAGCTGTCAAGGTTTTCAGGAATAATTTAGGTTTACTTATCAGGACTAGTAGACTCAAGGACACCTAGAGATGCCAGGCCAAAGATTTCAATGGCAGGCAGCTGGAAAACTTGTCACTTTGGGACTGGTGGATGGGCATCAGCCCACTGGTCAGTTGGTGAGAATGGAAGTGGTGGAAGAAAGGACCTAGGGATAGTAAGATGAATTCTTTTGTTCTCCTCCTGGTCAGGTTACCTGCTGTAGACAACAAAAGTCCTCCTGCTCCCTGCCCAAGACTGGGTCATCAATCTTATGGGCATTGTGCATGTGAAGAGTTGCCAGGGGTTAGCCTTCTTATTTTTGGGATCCTGTGGTGAAACAGGTGTCTTGGGGAATTATTGTGTATGTACTTGCTTTTAGCTGCTCTCCAATTCCCTCTCACCCTTATATCCTTTTCTTTAAATAAAATCATTCTTCTAGAAATCATACTTTTAGAAATCATTCTTCTAGAAATTATTCCCAGAAACCATGCTTGAGTGAGTCATGTGCTAATTCCAGTGCCTTGGATGTTGTAGGGTCACCACAGTGGAAACCTCACCAAGCCCGAAGGGAGTAAGGGGATTCCTCAGGATAATGTTATATGCATTGTGTGAAATTAAATTTTAAAGCTAACGTTAAAATTGAAGTTAGAGAACAAGATTTTAAAAAATCAGGTAGTGTTAAAAGCCTGGTGGTGGAATGTAGAGTTTGCTGCCCATCTAAAACAAGGCCACCAAGAATCCAACTTCAGCTCCAGCAGGAGGAAGGAAGGAAATTTCATAACTGGGGTGCAGCTATTAAAAGGCCCATGTGCTCAGATACCTATGAGCCAAGCCTCCCTAGGTGGTGCAATGGATAATAGAGCCTTCAATATTTATCATAATTCATGAACACCTTCCTATGGGAGGAGGCTGTCCTTCAGAAATCCTTGCTCATACCCTGTAGAGCCTGGAAACAAAGAGGAGTACTGCTGAATCAGATCAAATGCCCATTTGCTTTTCACAGTGCTCAACCAGGTACCTCCAGAGAACCCAGAGGCAGGGCATGAAGGCAACTGTGCTCTCTTGCCACTATTCCCCAGCAACTGCAGCTCAGACACACATTGCCTTTGAACACAGGAGTTCCATGTAGTCCTCTGTCAGAGTCAACAGTTCTGGCAGACCTCCCTGCCTCCACAAGTTTGTCCAACACCCTTTGGAACAACCTAGAGGCCATGTTAGTGGTGCCCACAGTCACAACTTCTGGCAATACCAAATTCCTGAAAGGAACAGACATCTAGTGCTCTTCCAAATGTTTTGGCCCACAATCAACCCCAGCTGGCACAGCCAAAAGTAATGGGAGTTGAAGACCACATGGAAGACCTAAAGTTGTCCACCCTTGCCACAGAAGCTAAACTGCAACAAAGTCATTGTGGCATATCACTTTTGGGCCACTAGGGCCCACTTCACCAGATAATAATGTCCTCACATATAAGTTTTCTTTTTTCCTTTTTCTTCCTGCAAAGAGCTGACCTTTTGTGAATTATATTAATTTTGCCATTTCTATTTAGAGAAGTTACTATTTAGTGATCTGTCCTTACATTAGGCTTTCCTTGTTGATGTTCCTTATTGTAATCTCTTGTTTTTTCTATTCTGACTTCTTGGGATGGTAATTGATGTCTCAGATGTCTTTATTTCAGCATCAATATTTAGCCCTTTTTTAAAGTGCAGGTACTTTCAAAGTACCTCTTTGATCCACACCTTTTTAATATGGAGAGGTGGTCTGAGAGTTTCAGAAAAGCCCAAAGTAATGCCACCAGGAGGCCAGACTCTTTTATTAGCCTGGTCTCCTAGCAAGGTCACCCAGGGCTTAAAGCTGAGACACCAGACTAAGATGCATCCAACTTCTTTGGGAATAACCTTCACATCAGCAGAAGATAATGGATATCTCCAAGCGAAAAATTTTGAAGGGCAGCTACTGGGCAACAGCAGCAATGGAGGGCAGCACTGACAGAGGATCTTTTCCAGCCAGTGGCAGTGACACTCAAGCTAACACTGCTTTGTACAGTACAAAAGAAGATAAAGGTAAACCATTCTGAATATTCTTACCTTGTAGACCTTATGATGAAACAATACAACATGAAACAAGATAAAATGAGACTCCCAGGTGGGAAGGCACTCAACTACATACTGGGGAATAGCAAAGGGGATGAGTGGACAGTGCTGTTGCTAATGACACAGGAAGATTAAAATTGAAAGGAAGCCTAGTTGCTGACATGTACAGAGATGAAAGGAAAATCTGATGCTGCACAACACATACAAATGGAACATGGAATATGAAAAAAATGAATCAAGGCAAAATAGAAACCATAAAATAAGAAATGGAGCAGTTAAATGTTGTAGTACTTGGTGTGAGCAAATGAAATGGATTGGAATGGGGCATTTTCAGAGAAACACAAAGAGCTTTACTCTGGAAATGACACATTCAGAAGAAATGGAGTGGCTCAAATACTGAGACAAGATGTAGCACAGGCAGTAAGAGACTATAATGCAAAGTCCAAACAGATCTATCCATCAGGATTCTTGGAAAACCTATCAGGATAACCACCATTCAGGTCTATACTCCAACAACAGATGCTGAAGAAGAAGAAATAGAAAGCTTCTATGCAAGTGTTCAAGAGGAAATTGATAACCAGAATCAAACTGGTCAACATAGGTGACTGGGACAGAAAAATACAAAACAAAGCAGAATCAAGTGCGGCAGGATTATTTGGCCTAGAGGTGAGAAATGGAGCAGGACAATAACTCTTAGAATTCTGCTCATTGCAAATATGTACTTCAGGAAACAGGCCAGATGACTGTAGTAATGGACATCACCAGATGGCTAATAGATAAAGCCAGTGCTTTTTTTGTAAAAAAAAAAAAAAAGTGCCAGAACTCACTTCCCCACCGGCAGTAAGCACACACACCAATCCCAAGCCAAGCAGTGAGCAGCAGAGCAGCGTCCCAAGCAGCTATCTCTCACTATCAGATAGCAGATACAATAGCAGCCTGCAGGCACTAAGTTAATGATGTTTGCTGCTGATCTGCTGCCTTCAAAATCACTTTGTAAAATCCATTGAAAAAAAGGTGCCGGAACGCTGTTCTGGTGCGTTTTATGACAAAAAAAAGCCCTGGATAAAGCAGACACACTATGTAATTGGATGGAGAAGATGAAAAACCTGAATTTTTGCTGCCAAAACAAGAGGAGGAACAGATTATGGTGGTGATCATGACCTCTTAATATCAAAAACCAGAGTAAAGCTGAGAACAATGACTAATAGAAGCATAGTGCCAAAATGCAACTTACATAACATTCCTGAAGAATGCAAAGACCACAGAATGAACACATTTTCACTAGTGAACTCAATTGACCATGACACATTCAGGCTGTGGACATTCTAGAGACATTCTTAGGAAGAACTCAATAGGCAATTCCTGTAGCAAAAAGAAAGAAAAAGACCAGAGAGATGACCGAAGGAACACTAGCAAGTGCTAAGGACAGGTGAGAAGCAAGAGCAAAAGGAGACAGAAATAGGGCCAGAATCCTGAACACAACCTTTCAGCAACTGTAGAGACAAAAAGAACTATTACTATGGTCAGTGCAAAGAAACAAAAGAGAACAACAAAAGAAAAGCAAAAGACTTTTTCCAGAATATTCAAGAAATCAAAGGAAAATTGAAACCTAGATTAGGAATGCTCAAAGACAAACAGGAGGACATACTATGTGACCAGGAGAAAATAAAGAGATGGAAAGAATGTACAGAACTACACAGAATGTTGAAAGGATGGCAGACTCCTTCAAAAGGAATCCTATGAGGAAGAGCCTGCAATATTAGAAAGCAAAGTGAAAGCTGCTCTGAACGCACTTGGAAGGAATAAAGCCCCCAGAGTAGATAGGATACCAGTAGAACTATTCCAAGCTCCAGAGACCGAATTGGTCCAAATCCTGCTAACAAATATGAAAACCAAACAATGGCCCACAAACTTGAAGTGTCTAATATGCTTTCCTATCTCCCCAGAAATGAGATGCAAAAGAATGAACACTGGACAAATTTCCCATGCAAACAAAGTGATGCTCAAGATGTTGCAACAAAAATATTGCCCCATATGGAGTGACAATGCTTGACATTCAAGCTGGATTCTGAAAAGGAAGAGGCACTCAAGATCATATTGCAAATATCCATGGGCTACTAGACGCACCAAAGAATTCCAGCACATGATCTGCCTATGTTTTCTAGACTACAGCAAAGCCTTTGACTGTGTGGATCACAAGAAGCTACAAATGGATCAGCACTTGATTATCTTGATGCTTAACCTATACTGTGGGCAAGAAGCTGTTATGAGAGGATACAAAGAAACAGAATGATTCCTATAAACAAAGGCATCAGATAAAAGTGTATTTTATCTAGTCAATCTGTATGCAAACCATATCATAAGGAAAGCTGGATTAGGATCAGAGAAGGAAGCAAAATTGGTGAAAGGCACATCAATAATTAAAGATAAGCACATGATACCATCTGACTGGTATAAAGCAGCAACAACTCCTGATGAAAGTGAAAGAAGAAAGTGCAAAGCAGGACTGCAGCTGAGCATTAACACAACAAATAGATAATTACAAAAGAATTACACAACTTTTCTGTCTTCAGTTAAGAATTTGAAATTGTGAAAGATTTTACATACCTTGGTTCAATCATCAATTCAGACAGAGATTGCAGCCAATATATCTGAAGAAAATTGAGACTGGCAAGGGTAGCAATAAAGGAACTAGAAAAGATCCTTACATGCAAAGTTCTTACACTGCATTCCAAGGCTAAGATAATCCACTCTAGTGTATTCCTACCCGTATTATATATATGGGTGTGAAATCTGGACAGTGAAGAAAGCTGACAGAAAGAAAATGGATGCATTTGAATCATGGTGCTGGCGGGGGGAGCCTTGTGAATACCCCAGACTGACAGAAAGATGAACAAGTTGGCCATAAATCAAATCAAGTCAGAACTTTCCCTAAAATAAAAATGACAAAACTGAGGCTGTCATACCTTGGGTATGTCATAAGAAGGTAAGACTCTCTGGCTAAGAAAATCATGCTAGGACAAGTTGAAGGTGGAAGAAGAAAAGGAAGACCAAATAGGAGGGGGATCCCTTGCATTTACAAGTGCTAGCAGGGATGTCAAGTACAGGACAGTTTGGAAGACTTTCATTCATAGTGTCCCCATAAGCCGGAAACAGTTTGATAGCACGTAACAGTGGCAACTTTCCAAGTGTAACAGAGTATGAACTGGAGATGAGCTGATGGAACATGAAGCTGACTCCTTGAGCTACTAGCCTCGGAAGGGGCTTATAATCCTTGTGCTATTTAGCAAGGTGTAACTAATTTTGTTAGGAGACTGGCATAGCATGCTGTGTGAAACTGAATGAAAGTTGTTTCTCCTTGCAAAGGTCTTTCTGAAGTATCCTTCTCCTTGTCAAATCAGGAGTTAGCTGCTTCCTTATGTGGTGTGTGTGTGTGTGTGTGTTTGGGGTGGGGTGGGGGATCAGTGTTGAGACACCTAGAGTTGGCAGAGGTATCCTTCTGTTTCTGGGGCTGGTGGGACCAGCTATTTTGCTGTTGGATTATCACTGGTAAAGGAGTCTTATTTGAGTGTTCCACAAACACCCAGCTGCCTACAGCTAACACAGAGCCACTAAGGGCATGTGGGAAGCCAAAAGGAATTCATTCAGAGCCTAAATTGGATTCTTAGCTCCCAGAACTGCATCAAGAGCCTGAATATGAAATTGCAGCTTGCAGACTCCTAAAACCCAAAACAAGCTGTGAGCTAGCCTATGGTACACATCTCCATGATGAAGAGACTGTTCCCTTTAAGATGAACCTGTATAACTGAGCAACATGCTTTCAGACATTATGTTGTTAGGCCACAGTAATGAATCAGTTACTATGGATTTAAAACCCGAAAATTAAAATAAATTTTGGCCCACCCAAATTGCATCCACACTAAGTTTGGGATGAACCCAATTGGAATCTATCCCACCAAGCATTTGTGGGATTCATCTTGTGCTCTACCTACTCTTACAAAGGAAGCCAAACGAGGAAGAAGCCTGTGAATGCTCACAGATCTCCAGTCATGCAACCAGCAATCTTCTTCTGCCTCAGGCGCTGCTGCCCAAACAGTGGCTCCATGTGGCACAGGAGAGACACACTGAGAGTAGTCATGCAGGGCCCCTGTCCTGGCAAGCCCGTTGAGACCAAGTGGTGGCTGCACCTGACACAGGAGAGGGATGCTGCCTGTGCAATGCATGGGGTTCAATTCCTGGTGAGTACCCCATGAATGGGGCTGCTGCAAATCAGACTGGAGTTTGGGGAGTGGAGCCCAGGGTGTCCGATGGATTCCTGGTGCAAAACAGATTCCTCACACATCTTCATTCACACCACCTAGTATTATGACTGACCCAGTGCTTCAGTTTTGCTCATAATACTCTGAACTGTGCTGTTCTCATGCCAATAACTGATAATATATGTATGAATTAATAAGGAACTAGAACTGTGCAACCACAACATAAGGTTTGAATCACCTCAAATCATACATCCCCATCACTCCCCAAAATGTTGTCTGTGAGATACCCCAGCTTTGCACCCACCCCTACATGTTTCTGCTTTCCTTTGAAGAAGAGATACTGTCAAGAGTAGAGGATCCACAACAATAATTTTCAGCATATGCATGGAATTTGGGATGAGTCTATCATAACAAGCTTTGGGGTTTTAGGTACACTTGTCCCAATATCATGTTCAAGCATGCTGCACCCTCACCAATCTTTGTCTATTGACAAAGGCATACATGAATAAGGAACTGGACCTAGGTATCCGTAAATTAGCTGTGGGCCACCCAAAAACATACACCAGCAATACCTGGTGTATATTCCTTGAGGTTCTTTAGTATTGTGTCAAGCTTCATTTTTGCATACCATTGAAGTACATTGTGGCAACTCAAGGAAACTCAGAATGTTTCCTTGTCTGGTTTGAGTGTACACAGGTGGCCAATTTTGAATTTACCTTCAAAGGCTTGTTAAACAGACAGCTTCCCCCACCTTCAGCCAGGAACTGATTGTATTGGTCAATACTGCAGCGTGAGAACTTCCGTGGCAGGTAGTACCTGGGGTGAGGAAAAAGAGCCATGGGGAAGAGTTTAAAAGCCTATGAAATGTCAGAGAAGGATGGGGAATGAGGAGGCAGGATTTCAAGGACTCTGGAGGTACACACAAACTGCCTTCATAAATGGCACTAAGCATGTAGATTTTGAACCTAGGCATTTATTTTCAAGGAACTAAGAGGATGGGCAGGAGCCTCGCACAAGCACAAAGCTCATACATGTGATGCTCAGAGATCACGAAGAACAGGAATATATGCTGACCCATAATGAGTTGGGCTAGTGGCACCATCTTCATTTTGCATGCTTACCAGAGAGGGAGAGGGAGAGGGAGAGGGAGAGGCTGCGGAAGGAAGAAAGTGACCAGAGGTAAGAGGGGTTGGCTGATGTTCTACAGGTTTAAGTTGTGTAGAATAAAGAATTTGGGATCTTGAAATTGTTCAAGATCATGAGTTGAATAAGAGTCAACCATTTAATGTGGCTACAAAAAAATCTAATGCTATATTGGTCTGCATTCATAGATGTATAGCTTCCAAATCACATGAGGTAATGGTTCCCTTCTACTCAGCACTAGTTAGGTCTCATCTTGTGTAGTGTGTCCAGTTCTGGGCACCACACTTAAAGAAAGATTCAGACAAACTGTTTTTCCAGAGGGGGACAACAAAGATGATCAAGGGACCAGAAAAAAAGTCCCGTGTGGAGAGATTGAAACAACTGGGCATGTTTAGCCTTGAGAAAAGAAGACTGATATCAGTTTTCAAATACTTGAAAGACTATCATACAGAGGAGGGTCAGGATCTCTTCTCAACTGTCACACAGTGAAAGACATGGAATAACAGGCTCAAGGAAGCCAGGTTCTGGTTGAACATCAGGAACTAACTACCGAGAGATGTGGTAGGTTCTCCCACCATGGAGGCATTCCAGAGGCAGCTGAACAGCCATCTGTCAAGGAGTCCTGCATGGAGCAGGGGCGTGACTCAATGGCCCTTTGGCCCTTCCCATGCTACTGTTTTATGATTCTAATTTGAACAGATTCAACTTCCCTCACTTTTGCATGACAAGCAGCAGTAGCTGCCAAGTTCTCTAGCCTAAGCCACTACAGACAGTGCAGTCTCTCCACCCTCTACTACATCTAGTTACACTGGAGAGAGAGAAAAGGAGAAGAGTGGACTTAGGGTGCAGTCCTACTGGGATGCCCATACGTTCCTGAACTCACAGGCTTTTGCACAGCTGGAGAAGTGGCGGAGATGATCATCACTTCCCCACTTTGCACATTTGCCAGGGAGCCTTTTTTCAAAGCATTGGCACTTTGGGAACAAGGAGAAGGAGGCTGGAGTGGTGTCTATCATGGCCACTCTAGTCTCATCCCTTTTCCCTCTTGAAGGTTGCTCCCTGACTTCAGAAGGCAACCAGTGTGGTTCTTTCCACATCAGCTATGCAGACATGAGGGAGGGGGACTGGCACTCCAATTCCCACTTCCAAGCTTGAAGTGCTGTCTCTGACCTTGGAGCTGGAAATTCAAACTATTGTTCCTGTAAGCACAGCTTAAATGAAAAAAAAGGGGGGGTCATGATTCATGTGAGGATTGAAGCATCATCATTTTAAAGGCTAATTTGTTCCTGACTTTGAAATGAAGTACTACTCCAAAAGCCTCATTCCTTTGTGATCCTCACCTCTTCTCCACACTCACCCAGTGTCCTCCATAATACAGCCCAGCCATGAGTCGGGACAGCGACAGTCTCCTGCAGAAAAATGCACAATACAGAAATGATGTAGATGCCTTCATAAGGAACTGGGGATCAGGGGAGGGTATTATATTATTCTGTCCAAAAATTCCCAAGCTGCTCATTCAGCATCATTGAACATGAAAGCTGGTATCCCCAAAACTATCAAGGATAGCTATTCTGTTCTCTGCCCTGAGAAAATCTTGCATGCTTTGTTTTAAGCTTTTAAAACAACACAAACCATCTCCAGGAAGCTCTGTTTGTAGTTCCTTTGTTCTAGTACCTCAACTTTAGCCAAATTCACATTTAGTTAGCCTGCAAAAGGAAAAGCTCTCTTTTGCTAGTGCAAAATTAAGTCCACACTATGGCCCAGCTGTACAGCATTTTCTTTTTATCTAGCAAGCTCAGCTCTTGGGGAGCTCACTAGAGTGGCTAAGCAAAATCAGGGTATCAGATCCATTCTAAAACCATATGTCTTCAGTGTAGAGGTCAGTGAGTGGGTAGGAGTGTGCACACCACACAGTGCTACCCTTCTCCCAAAGTGCTTCAGAAGCTGCCATCCTTCCCAGCTGTGATGGCCCTGATCCTGTGCAGCTGCCAGAATTCTGACACAGAGAAGGAGGAATAAGCTGGAACAAGATGAGCAGAGGTGCAAGTCCACTGGATGGATAGACAGGACTGAGACTCTGGCTCCAACAAGAACTTCAGTCTCTCAGACAGCTGTTGAGATGTTGGCTCCTCAACACCCTGAGGAACTGGTCCTCAGAGGTTCCCTGCCTATCATGGAGGAGGTGACTCAGAAGTGATGAGTGCTATGCTCCAGAGCAGAGGACTGTCCCTTTAGGACTATACCTCCTTCACAAGGTGGGCAGAGCCTTGGTGGCTCAACTGAAGCAAAAGCCTATTGAACTCTAGACGTAACTGGGGCAACTCTTGCCTGCATAAGCAGAATTTGTCACATGCCCGTTGTGCCCCATGGAGACTCTCCTACAGTCAGGAGAACAGGGCCCCTATCCCACTTGGTCCAACCTTCAGTCACTCACCTGCAGAGGTGCGGTGTTTGTTCCACATCATACCGATGTTTTGCCCCAGGGTCTGTGCTAATGTTACTGCCATTGCTCCCACGTTGCCGTACTTTGGGAAGGAGGAGGACATCATGTTATTGGGAAGGAGGGAAGGAATAAGAGGGCACAGACTAGTACATGAAGCCCTTGTAGGCAGGTCGCATCTTGTAGTCGCTCACTAACCACATTGCTGCCAGTTTCAAATGCTCATGTTCCTGGGTAACCTGCCTCCCTTTACAGATCCACAACCAAAGAGCACCCCTTACTAATTATCTATAATTATTATTCAGATTTGATGGCCCTGTTGGCCTCTTAGAATTCATGAATTTCTATAAGCAGAAAAGACAAGCGTCTGCCGAAGGATTTTAGAGTGTAAATTTAGATGACATATCCTGCCAGCACTGCCACAAAGGAAGGAAAGAATAAAGCAGGATGTACAGGAAGAAGTGTAGAGACTCCTAATTTCAGTGGGGAAATAAGGACAGAGTTTCAAGGCTTCACAGAAGCTGGTGATTTTAAAGAGAGCATTTGCAGCAGAAAGAGAGGAATTGAATCACACAGGTGCTTGGGGGTACTTTCATACATCAGAAGCAGCAAGGGAAATGGGCAGAGAAGACTAGGGAAGCATAAGTACTTTGGGCATTCTTGGGTGGTAGAGCTGGAGAGGCATGCAAATTCATTCTTCAATTCTTCACCTTCAAAGTCCCAGCAATCCAGATCTAGATGTCATGCTCCACTCACCTCATTGACACCTCCACCTCGGGCAACTGAGCAGATCCCTCCAACATAAGCCGTGCCACTACGGCTACTTCTGAAAGTGCGCCCGCTGGAGGGAGTAAGGAGAAGGCGGGTTTACCATGCAGGAGACAGAAGAGGCAGGTGGTCTTGACCAGCCAGGAATTGTGTTCTGCATCATTCTCAGTGACTTACTACAGCATATGGCAGCAAAAGATACTTCCAGGAACACAGATATATGGCTGTGAAAGTGCCTTCAGTCATTCCTTTGTATCACCTCTTATCCTCCCTCCTCCCTCCTCTTATTCTTTCTGGTTATAGGGACTGTAAAGAAGGGAAGGCATGAACAATTTCATATTGGTCATTCTTTGAACACTTCCACCACCACCTTGTTCAGGAAAGAGCTCTTCCCCTGGAGTTACTGGTTCCCACCTCCTGTCACAGTCAATACCCAGAACTCAAAGCCTGTATGCTTGATCCATGCTTTTTATGTAGATATAAATGAAAAGAAAGTGACTCTTATATTGCATTATATAAAAATGAACATAATAGGTTGTCAGTAAGGTTCAGTGATAAACAACTAGCATCTACTATCTTGCAAATCACACCTGCTAGAGAGAAAAAAAAAATCAGATCTGATGTATCCTAGATCAATTTGCAGATCACCTCTTGAGATTTTTATCCTAATTAAAAATCAGAGTATAAGCAAGGTGGTCTAGAATCATTTGATCTAGAATCTCACTTGCCAGAAATTAAAAAACTTTACTCTTATTTCTCAATAATAGTATTTAAAAATCCTCTTGAAACAAATATAACCCCCACCATCATCTGCAAATGAAAGAGGCCAAAGCATTGGACATGGTGGACCATTAGAAGGTCCATTTGCTACCAAATGGGTCTTTACTGCCTAGGTTTGGTAACCTGCATTTTTATCACAAACTTCAGAAGTCAGCAAGAGCAAATTCTCCTAACATGGAGATTGGTATTGCCATCTGGGAAGAACTGGGAGCGGGGGGCAGGGGGACACCTGAGTCACAAACAGTAGGCTGCTTTTCTCCTGCACACAGCCTGGCACCTTGTCAGTGCAGGTGGCAAGGATGGAGCAGCTACAAATGGTTGCATCTCAAACTGATGATGTCACCAGTCTTTCCTCACTGGCAGCTTGTTCCATCACCCCAAATGATCAAAACCTGAAGGGGATCATCTGTGAAGTAGAATGAGATAAAAGGGGAAGGGAAATGAAAAAAAAGAGAGGGGAATGTGGAGGAGAGTGGCTATAGGGGGATGCCCAGGAGAAAAAGCAATAGAGAAAAAAGGCAAAGACAGACACTAAGGAAGGCAAAACGGGGACATTAAGGAGGAAGGAACTCGGGAAAAGAAAAGATACCTGTACTTGTACAGCAGGGGCAAAAATCAAGTTACAGCCTGTTTAGGAGCAGGCTGGGAAGTGAGCCTGCCTCCTTGTGGGAAAGAAAGGCTTTCCACCCTCCCTTCAATAACCCTGGACTGCCAGGGCTGACTGAGCAACCTACTGATTTGACTCTTGGGGGTAGGAGGAGGTTCTGGCTTGGATGGGATCGCATATTAGAGGCAAAACAGCCAGGGGCACTGTCTGAGAAGCAGTCGGCAGGGTGAGGCTGAGTGCAGATGCCTTCCTTGGATATTGCAGTGGGCATGGACTGTTTCTCGGGGAAGAGGAGATCCATCCCTTGAATGGCAGAGATTACTCTGTTGTTGTTTATGGAGAACTAATCCCTTTAAGCAGTCTGCCAGTGTATGGAACTAGGACAGTCGACTTTGGACAAGCTGATAGAAGCAGTGGATCTAGGGGGCTTTGATGTTCTTCTTCCTCAAGCACTTTTGTCACCACCTTTATCACCTCCATATCAACTTACTGTTAAAGACAGAATGATAATGGTCATGCAACTGAAGCATGCTTATTATTTTTACTATAAATGTGGTTAGATTCCTATACAAAACTCACGAAAAGAGATGTACAGCATCGCTCTGCTCAGGAAGAGCATCCTGTCGATACTTCATGAACTCACTCAGTGTCTCCAGGGAATCTTGGTCTACCTGGATCTTGTCCCCTGATGCCCAGGTCTCCATGGCAACCAACACAATGCGGGTGTTTAACTGCTCCTTATAGATCTGGAAAGCAGAATTGTTCCTTCAAGGACCCGCATCTCAGGCCCACAGCATCCTTCCCATTCTCCACTCAGTTCAGGCACTCCATCCACAGCCTGCCCCAGTGTCAAATCAAAGCTGAAGCAAAAGGTATTTTTTCCTTGGACTGCATTTCCACATTCTGGGACAGGGATGGGAAGTTCCAAGACCAAGGTTGTCTGATAAATGGAAGTGCAACACAAGATAATCTGCATTTTTAAACTAACCTAATATGCACATCCCAGACTAATATGTGGACTGCACATTTCTCTCAATTTGGTGACACAGTTCTGAGCTGAAAAATGGTTCACAGTGTATATATTAGGGGAACATGTGCAAAATGTGTTATGTTAGGGAGAACTTCATTTGAAAAGAAATGTGCATTTTAAAAAGCAGATGTGGAAAAAGGATGGAATGCACGTATGAATACATGCAAAACTGACCCAGACCAAAAATAGACTATTACTTTGAAGGGACCCATGAAATGTTGGACCCTATGAATTACTTCCCAAGGGACTTCTGCCTCAAGAATTCTCAGCCTTTGCCAAAGGGGAAATGCTCATAGGATGTCATTTTTGGAAGGACTTGCAATGCATTTAGTACTCACCAGATCAGCAAGGTTCACCACAGACTTTGCAAAGTTACTGGTAAGGACGACAGAGTGGCGCAGCTGTTCAAACTGGAACAGAACAGGAACAGAAAGAAGTTTGGAGGGATATAATTCCTGTCTAAAAGAACCTGAATCTAGAACAACCAAAATGGAGGGAGTCTCTTTTCTCCCCATTTTGTTTTTGGTAGCACTCAGTGGTAGCTAGTGACTTCCACATCAGTGAAGATATGCATCCAACTATGAATTTTAGTCTGAACGTTAAAGGAGCTGTCCACAGTGCTGAACCCCAACTCCCACCCCCAAACTTGGTTTTGTTGTTGTTAGTTGCAATGTCGTGTCTGACCCATCGCAACCCCATGGACAACACTCCTCCAGGCCTTCCTGTCCTCCACCATCCCCGGATTCCACTTAAGCTCACACCAACTGCTTCAGTGACTCCATCTAGCCACCTCATCCTCTGCCGTCCCCTTCTCCTTTTGCCATCTATTGTTCCCAGGCTCTTCTCCAGGGAGTCCTTCCTTCTCATTAGGTGGCCAAAGTATTTGAGTTTCATCTTCAGGATCTGGCCTTCTAAAGAGCAGTCAGGGTTGATCTCCTCTAGGACTGACCGGTTTGATCGCTTTGCAGTCCAAGGGACTTGCAGGAGTCTCCTCCAGCACCACAATTCAAAGGCCTCGATTCTTTGGCACTCAGCCTTCCTTATGGTCCAACTTTCACAGCTTGGTACAGGACTATTAAAATCCAGAGTGGATATACAGCCTTGCTGACAGTGGAGCCACCAGGCTCCACTGGCAGCACCGCCTGGGTGAGAAAAGAGCAATTTCCTCTTAGTCATTAAAGAAGCCATAAGTTTTCTTCTGTAATCATCTGGAAGCAAAATTTAAACAGTGATTCTATACAGTTCCTAATGTACCATTAAATTATGTGGAAATGCCTGTCTCTGTGGCAAAAAAATCTTTCTGTAATGTTGCAGAAATAAGTCAACAAAACTGTCGTATCAGGGAACTGGCCCATCTGGCCAGTACTGTTGATACTGACTGGCAGTGGAAGTTTGCGATGTGTTCCAGAAAGGTTTTCTAGCTGAGTTGGCAATCCCTGGTAAACTGTCACTCTTATTCTCCTTACTTGCTTTCAACAGGATTTCCATACTCATCCTCATTTAGTTCCACACAGGTGTATACATATAATACCATTCCCATTTCCATCCTGTTGCATCAGTGCCTTTGGAAGCAGGCATACTCTTCAGTCACTGGGTTTGTACAACATCCTAAGCCACTGTGAAGAACCTGCTCCCACAAACAGACATTTCCCTTAGGTTGCTGTAGGGCTTAGAAGGCTCTCCATGACTTGCATCATGGGAGTTGTGTTCATCCCAGAACAAGGAGACCAAACAATATAGGGAGGGATTTGCAGCCCAGTATAAGGAGGAATAGTCCAAGGGCCAGATGAAGAATGCAGAACAATTGCACAGAAAAACAAACAAATAATGCAAAAGCACCTAATCTGATTCTCTTTTAAAAGTGAGTAAACAAAAGATGGCAATTAAACTACTGGTGTGGAACCAACAGTACAGTCTTTCAAATCAGGCTACTATGAGTTCATCAAAGTTAGAAAATGCCAGTGCTGATCAATGTTAGTCCCTCTCATTGCCCTAGAAATCTCTATCTCAGGCTCCTTGTTTCAAGGCAAACAAAACTGAGGAAATCACTGTAGATATTTTAAGATTTGCATTTCTTCTGATCATATTCCACACTTCTTTTTAACATAGGAAAATATTATTATTTTGTTAGTAATTTAGATATCTTATAGTACTATATAACAATCTCTACAATTGTTAAAAAGAGGTATTTGCTAAGAAGCTATATGACCTTACATTTAAGACAATTTGCTACTCAGGCTCAAAATAAGTATATTTTGTCTCGTTTGCAAGTATGGTAAACAGCAAAGGCTTCTTTTTAACAGTTGCAGAGCTTGCTATATGGTGATCTTGCTGCCGCCACATCATAAGTGGGTTTTCTTGTCATGATGTGACATGTAGTTTGTGTCGGGGTGGGGAAGAGAGCCGTGGTTCACTATGAACAAGGAAAAGATCTGGCATGATAGGTGCCTCCTGCCTAGCTCTCATGAACAAACCAATCCTCTCCCTCTCAGTCCTGCAGCGAAATTCAAAATAATCAAGCTTTACTTTTCAATGGAAAGATGAAGGATAAACAAATATGCGCCTGTTTTAAAAATGTTTCTAAAACGCAGTCAACCCACTATGCAGAATGAGAGGCAGTGCTAAAGATTTGCCACACATTCTTGTCATGGGAAGCAACTTCCCAAGCCAGTGTTTGACTTACTGATAAGTGTCTATTTAATGCAAGTGGTGAAGCTGGGTTCATAGTGCTGGTGGCCATGACTACTGCTGGAATGGCACATCCATCTTTACACTTGATTAAAGCCTTGCGGGGAACTCTAGCTATTTGGATACTGCAAGGCTCGTTTTAATTACTTTACAAAGGAACCAAGCCATGAATGGAGCTCTTTTGACCTAGTTTCTTGACCTGGTTTTTGCAAGACCAATGTTCACTAGCTTGCAAAGTTGCTGGATTATAGAGTGCTGAGCCTAGCTGCTCGACAACTTATCTGAGTTGTCAAGAGCATTGTAGAGGAGGCCTCAATAGAGGACAGTCACATAAAAATGGGGTGAGAAATAAGATTTCAGAGTGGGACTGAAAGGGAGGGCAGCCTGAAATACTCTCTGTCAAATTGCTCAAAGAAGCAGACTTGGCAGGTGTACGTGTGGCCTCCCACATGGCACATTCAAAGGGGCTGCACACCCATCTCTACTGATTCCCAAGTCTAGACCATCCATTAGCAGCACTCACCAGCTGGTGGTCATTAACTACAATGAGTTCAATGAATTTGGTCTCACTGTGGACTGTCCGGTGGCCTCGGTGAACCTAGGATGTGGAGAAGAGGGCAAGATCATACCGGTAATGCTTGGTACTCTTTCGACCACCACCCATCTCCCCATCAACAATGCACAGATTTTATATGCATATCTGTGTATCCATCCTCCTGCTAATCCCCCAAAGGTCTGCTCTGGGGAAAAAGTAAAATAGGGGGTCAATGATGCAGATAGGAGACTCATGGAAGTTACAGCACCTTTTGGAGTGTCACACAGTTATTCTGTTTTTGCTGTGCAACCAGGCAAATCTGGCCCTGTGTTTTAGGGATTGTGTAATGTGTACACAATCTGCCCTCTTTTCAATGAGAGGGATACATAGCCCAGCCTTTTCTGATCTAGCGCCCTCCAAATATATTAAACTACAATATACCCATCACCCCCAGCAGCAAGGTTCTCTTTAGTGTCATAATTCTTACAACTCTCTTTAGTGCCACAATATGGCAGCATTCCTTATCCTGGTGACACCCCAGGGAATAATTGTGATGACTGCAATGCATGAGAGAACCTTCCTGCTCTAGGGAGCTCAGCCATGCTGGAATTTGCCCCTTTCAAACAAAGTCTGGCCAGCTGGATGTTGGACCCCAGGGGAGGTCTAGCATAGCCTGCAAAAGTGTTCCTAAATGAAACTAATCTAAGTGCTAAAAAGATGCACAAAACAGTAGGATATTTGTTAGGCAAGAGAGGAGGGGATAACCCAGTTGCTGGGAGATAACCCAGTTGCTGCTAGCTCTTTCATGCTATGGCTAGAGGAGCTCTTCTAGCAAACACTAAAAAAATATGAGAGACCAGCAACATGTCTGACCTTACTAGTGTCAGGGATAGAAACAGAGGCAAGCAGGCTTTGCTCAACTAAATAGAAAAAAAGAAATCTACTGCAAAAGATGGTGGGAACTGTTTGCAAAGGACAGAGGAAGTTGCATAACATTACATTGGTCCATGAGACAGGCAAGTACTCTTCTTTACAGAGGACAGCCTGTTTGATAAGCTTGCAGACAACAGTCCTCTCAACAGTAATGTAGTATATTTCCAATTAAGTCATAGCTATTTCTAAACCCTTACATACAGTTAGCATATGCAAGATTATACATATCTTTTTTACTTTCTTTTTTGGTGAGTCATTCCCTATTTTCAGTGAACAGGGCTGCCATGGATAGGACATTCTGAAGACCTCTGACTCATAGAGTTGCCATAAGTTGGAAAGAACTTGTCAGCACATCACCACAAGTCGATAGTGCATGAGCCTGCCTAGGTCAGCACTGTCAACACACTGATTGGTAACAGCTCTCCTTGGCTCTCTTGGCCCTTCCTGGAAATACGTGGAACCAATCTGAGACCGTGGCTGTACTCCTGAGCTACAGCCCTAATGTTCCTGGATTCCTTGCCCTTGCACCTACCGAATTCTGCAAGAGATGGCTGGCTGGCCGGTTGAGCAGTAAACCTACCTGCCTTCGATGGCGCACTTTAGGGAGCCCAGAAGGAATATAGTCATTCAGTGCAGCAAATAAGCACCCTGAGTAGGAAGTAAGAAGGGGGTAGACATCAGATATGGGGATACGAGGGCATGACTGGAGAACAAGGGAAATAAATGTTTTGTTGAAAGGAAGCAGTGTACTATGACTTAAATCTGCCTGGAAGCTATAATCTCTTCTGAAGCAGGACCATAATACTGGGTATGGGAATGGAAATAATTAACATGGACACATGCTTATAACCGTTTGATGCATTGCTCTTCTCTTATTGCAGCTTAGGGATGGGAGGGTGTCCAGGGGAGGGGTAGCCTGACTAGCACTGTGGGAGTGAAACTCACTGAGCCAGCAAAACACTCACAAAGAGTGCCTGAGCTGCCACAACTTCAAATTCCCCACCTGCACTTGCTCACAGCCTCCTGTGAAGGGATGGCAAAGCTGAACAACCAAGGAGACATTCACAGTGGGTGCCAGAAATGGGAAGACAACCTGAAAATGTCTTTGGAGTAGATCAGTTAAGGTGAAGCAGCTGAGATGAGCGGGGGGAGGAAAACAGGCCATTCAAAGGGCTTCATTTCTTCACATCTACTCAGAGAGGTACATTCCTGAGCTCAGTGAAGCTTAAACCCAGGTAAGATTATGCGTCCTCTACGATCTTATTGGGGAACAAGGTCAACTGAGCACAATGGGACTTACTTTTCTGAGGGCACAACCTTTTGAAGGGTTAGACATTAAAAGGTGCTACAAGTCTCAGCAATCCTCAGCCAGCCCCAGGCTGATGTGCAGAGGAACGCACTGTTACTGGTTTGTAGCCCATTCAGGCTGGAGCCCTTAGCTTCACAGCCAACCCTTCCACAGTTGCATCTCCATTACAAGCAATAACCACCCACAAACATGCGACTACACTCAACTCCCAGCCCAATCTCACTCACAGGGTTGTTGTTATAAGGATAAAATGGAGCTATGAATGCTGCCTGGGTGTTTCTAACAAGAGGAGAAAAGGCAAGATATGAATGAGATGCAATAATAAATGTAATAATAATGATGGGAGCTGCAGTCCAACAACTGGAGGTCCCCACAATCCTTATCACTGACTTAAAAGAACCCATGCTACTGCACCATTCTGTTCAAACTACATGAAACTAATTCCACGCCAATCCTCTTCTAGCTGCACTGGCTGCCAGTTGAAGTGTGGGACCAATTCATAGTGCTGGTACTAATATTCAAAGCCTAAACATCTCAGGGCCAGGTTATCTGAAGGAGCTCTTCCTCCCATAAGTACCTACCCAGACCCTGAGGTCATCTTTGGAGGTCCTGCTCCAGGAAAGCACTCCAAAGGAAGTGAGGTGGGTGGCTATCAGGTGGAGGGCCTTTTCGGTTGTGGCACCCTGGCTGTGGAATTAGCTCCTCAGAGAGGTACACTTGGCACTTACTTTGTATTCTTTTTAGTGCCAGGTGAAAACCTTTTTAATTTTAAATTTTAATTTTAATTTTCCCAGCATTTTAACAGCTTAACTTTTTAACTTTAGTTTTATTATTGCATCTCATTCCATACTGTTGTTATGCTTCTGTGTTGATTCACTTGAAATTGCTGTAGTTTTGTTGTTTTATAATAATGTTTGTTGTTTGCATGTTTTTACTTCTATTAACCGCCCAGAAAACCTCTGCTACTGGGTGGCAGAAAAATGAAACTAACTGACAAGTTAATGAAACAATTGAAAGATGCATTGTCATGTTCTTATGAAAAAGAATAATTACTGATATCCCTAAAAATACATTGCTGCTGTTGTTTATGATTTGACACCAAAGAGAGAGACCCTGGACCTTGATGAATTTTGTGCGAGTCCCCACAGTGCTGGACTCTCTGATAGTACCTCTGCTCAGATGTGAGAAAGAGGGCACTCTGTACACATTCAAAGGCATTTTCCCAGCAGCATAGAAAACTATTCCAGCAGCTTAGCAACATAGGTGTCATAAGCTTTTAATACCATTATAACTAGGTGCAGAAGTAATTTTTAGAAATGGACAGAAATAGCATATGCTTTAAGAATTTCAGAATTTGGATCAAAATAACTATATTCAGATCTGAAATACAATAAATGTTAAAACCCTGATGCAGATGGGGGATACACTTGGATGGAATTAGGTTCTATGCATACAAGAAAGGATACAGTTCCTCCTAGCAATGTGTGAGGAATCCATTACATTTTCTCAGCTCTGCTCCCTGAAATGCACCCTGCTTTCTCTCCGACCAAAGTCTGCATTCCACAGACTTTTCACAGAAAGTGAGTCCAACTACTGCATATTACATTACAGATACACAGGTATAACCAGCATAGTGGATTTGCATGCACAACATCTGTGCACCCACTGCACAAGTGGGTTCTGCTTCTTTTTGAACTTCTGCATCGATACTTATTTGGATATCTGGTCTACTTTTTTTTGAAATTTTTGTATGATTATGAGAAAACAGTATTTTCATATTTTATTTATTTATTTATTTATTAAAACATTTTTATGCCGCCCCATTCGCTGAAGCCTCAGGGCGGCTTACATCACTAAGTTAAATAATAATAATATAAATTAAAATATAAATATTAAATTAAAAATACAACAATACAGTATAAAATATATACATTTCATATGTATTTTCTGCTGTGGATATCTATAAATCCATGCATGTAGATTTTTAAAAACCAAAATAAAATGCATTTAAAAATGGGAATTATAAAGCTATACCAATTTTAATAAAATGCAGATGTACCAGAAACTTTGGCAGTTAGAAACAGAACTGGATATTACACAGGTTTGAAAGCTCAGCATTTGCTCCAGTGACTAAAGGACAAAGTATTCTCAGTTCCTTTGGGAGACAGTTACGTTACCTGGCTCAGTGCAGCCTTGGGCAGTACGAGGTACAGGTGTCCGGTAGATCTGGTGAGGGACTGATCCCTGTAAAAAGGCAACAAAACAGAAGAAATATGCAAGTGCTTAGGCTTCTATCCTGTTAAAGGAGAATGCAGTGAACACCTCTATATTCATAAATAGTTACTTCTGCTTAATAACAACTCCAACGTACTTTCTTAAAATACCTGCTTGTTCTTCCTGAAGCAATAGAAACCAGCAGCAAGGACTTTAACTCAGCCTTCCAGACAGGGTTTTTATTTGAATGCTATGGAAATTATCATGGAATTTTTATGCCGGATCCAGAAAACATCATTTTCCAACCCTAAGACTCCTATGTTTTTCCACGGCTGCTTCTACGTTTTCTAACTTAGAAAAACTCATTAAGGAGAAAAGGTGGAATGACCAATTTTTGACTCTTAGTGATAGGGCCCCTTCATCCACAAGTATTGCCAGCTTTTCAGCTATGGCAGAGTGAGCCCACATGCAGGATGGAGCAGGACTGTTGTGACAGTTCTACCTCTGACCCAAACATCTTTGCTTAAGGTCTGAAGAAAACCTGTCTGGATACAACAGTGTGCACACAGAGATTTCTCATCACACCCATGGGTTGTGGACAGACCTTCAGATGGATGCAAGCAGGCCGAAGGGTGGCAGAGCCTGACTTTCCTCAAGACCCATATGACTATAACAACTGTGGGAAAGCATTATTTAATGTGTTCTTTTGAACCCAGTGATGCAGGTTTCTTTGACACTCTGCACTCTATTATGTCTCCTCCCTGTGTGCTCCCTCTCTGCATCCTCATCTTCCTTAACTCATTATTTTCTCTTTCCCTAAGTGCAGGAAGGCTCTCCAAAGTTTTCCTCTCTTTTTCTGTATGTATTTCACCTCTTTCCTGTCTTAGATATATCCTCATATCTTCACTCACTGAAGCAGTCAGATTAATAACAGAGACCAGAGAGCTAGAGCATGTAGAACCAATTCTGGCCTGCTTCCATTGGCTGCCTATATGTATCTCAGCCCAATCCAAGGTGCTGCTTTTAACCTATGAAGCCCTGCATGGTTTGGGGCCACAATACCTAAAATAATGCTTCTCCCAGCCACAATCTCTCTGGACACTGCAATCAAGAGGAGCCTGCCTCTGACTGCAACCTCAGAGGGAGTCTAGGTTGGTGGCGACACAGAGATGGGCCTTTTCAGTGGTGGACCCCCAGTTATGGAACAAGCTTCTCACTGAAGCCCGCCTGGCACCAACTGTAAAACCTTTTTGGCACCAATGTAAGAATGTCTTCTACCAAAGGGCATTTAATCAGTTTATTATATTGGGGCTTTATTAGCTGCTTAAACAGATCTTACAATTTAATGTGCATAAGCTATTGTAACATGCATATTTTAAATTTGGTTTTACTTTTTCTATTGTATTGCTATGTGGTGTTGTAGATTGCACAGAGAGTTTCAGGCACTGGGAAGTGCAGAAAACAAACAAAAACTTAAATGAATTGTTCTCACTTCACACCAATGAAGATGTTGCAGTGGGTTAGTTGTTCTGTGAACAACCCAGAATGTGCCCAAGACACAACTGAGCTCCCTGTGGGTCGTTCACCTCCTCCCTTCTACTCAGTCCCCTTGGGGATCCTGGGGCATTTCAACAAGACCAACTTGTCCACCCCTCCCTACCACAAGTGTGAGCTGGTTTCAACTTGCTCTGATATTTTGTTCCTTTACCTATTTCCCCTTGCTACATCTCAGGACAACCAGAATACAAGGCTTTCATTCTTGTAGTATTTTATACTAGGGCAGGAGTTCCTCCTTATAATATTATAATAAGAAATATATAGTTTTTTGTTGTTGTTAGTTGCAAAGTTGCATCCAACCCATCATGACCCCATGGACAACATTCCTCCAGGACTTCCTGTCCTCCATCATCCCCTGGAGTCCACTTAAGCTCACACCGACTGCTTGAGTCACTCCATCTATCCACCTCATCCTCTGCCGTCCCCGTCGTCCTTTTGCCGTCAATTGTTCCCAGCATTAGGCTCTTCTCCAGTGAGTCCTTCCTTCTCATTAGGTGGCCAAAGTATTTGAGTTTCATCTTCAGTATCTGGCCTTCTAAAGAGCAGTCAGGGTTGATCTAAGACTGACTGGTTTGATCTCCTTGTAGTCCAAGGGACTCGTAGGAGTCTTCTCCAGCACCACAATTCAAAGGCCTCAATTCTTCGGTGCTCATATAGTTACTAATGTTAAATAAAATATACTAAAACATTAAATTTATTGTTTATGAAAAATAAAAATGCAAATGGTTTGTGCAGCATGGCTGGTTGTCAGTACAAGCCTGGGAAAACTGGCACCAGGCCCTCTACACACTTCTGAATCCAGGCAGAGGAAGAGCAACCAGCCGCAGTGATGCAGCTATTCCCCCACATTAGTGTGCCAAAGTAGGACACACACTTACTCCCACTCTTATGCGCCAAGGAGCTTCTCAAATGTATGTGAGAAAGGGACACAAACAGTGGATGCGCAGGGTGCGGAGGGCTGCAAATACAGATGTGGAGGGCTACAACTGCAGTCTTAAGCCATGAGCAGTTTATGGGAATCTTATCAGACCACAGTGTTCCTGAATGAAACTGTGTTCTGGGAATTCCTCAATGAGAAGATCAGTAATAGCAGACAAGCCACCTGGAAAACAGATCGCCAAAAGCCTAATCTGCTAATAGAGCGGAGGGAGATGCTAGAATTAACTGCATCATTTGAGTTTGCAGATAGAATGCACTATTTTTGTAACACTTCTCTATGTTAAAGATCCCTTACCAGCAGATAAACTACGGCAGCAGTCAAAGGACTGAGCTAAAAATATCCACTCTTCCACATTTTATTTATTTATTTATTTAATATTCCATTTATATCTTACCCTTTTTTCCTTCAAGGAATCCAAGGCAGCATGCAATATCACTTTCCTCTCCATTTTGTTTCTACAACAGGCCTGTGAAGGCCGAGAGTCAGTGACAGGCTGCAAGTCAACCAGTGAGCTTCATGGCCAAGTGGGGACTAGAACCCGGATCTCTTGAGCCTTGTCCAACACTTCACTAGCCTACTTTGCAGCCCCGGGCTGTAGTCTGTTTTTATACCTCAGTTTTACTACTTCACTCTGCTCTGTGTGTAGACCCAGTCCAACTCTACCATCTCCTATAAGCCCCCGCCAGAGAAAAGTATTTAGCATGAATACACAAACTGTCCATGTAGTATGACAGTGAGGCCCCAGAGGCATGGCTGAGCAGCATGTGAATTAATGTTCAGGGCTGAGACTGTCTGTGAATATATGGAGACCCATAAAATTAAAATATTTGGAAACCACAGACAGACTTAATTAAAATCCACCCCCCCCCCACACACACACACAGAGAATTTTAGATATCTTTGGTTTAGAGGGAGGAAGTTATGGAAATTTAAAATGACTCCTCCCCACTGTCTTCACTAAGTGAAATGCAACTACTCCTGGAACATTCTGGATGGGGGATTTGGTCAAAGAGGATACACTTTTCAGGCAGACTTGAGCACAAGCTCCTCCATTAATAAAACAAAGCAAGCATCATATCCAAGGCAGGAGACAAATGGGATCGATGAGGAATCTGGACACCTCCCCAACCCATCTGTCTGAGAAGAGAGGTTAAGGGAATACAAAGAAGGGAGGTCATATGGAACAAAACCCTAACTTGGAGGCCAGCCTCTGTAAGGCGATACATTGAGATTCGGACTCAAGCTTAGTTACAAGGGCACCTTCGGATTAGGAAGCCATTTTCCACTTTAACAATTCAAAACCCTGTGCAGATGAGTAATATCCAGGCAGGCTCAGTAGGGGGACTCCAGTTATGCAGTAGTGTAAATACTATTCATGTTCAGAGACATTTCTCCCTAATTCATGCAGTACAGCTCTGAATACCCTGGGCTTCCAGTCCTGGGTGGTTCAGTAGCCACCACGTCACCTTTGTATTACTGTCACTTGTTCTCGTCATGACCTAAACATTATCGTGTCAAAAATGGCTCCTCTCCTTTGACCTTTCCCACTTACCCAGAAAAGCTCTCAAAAATGACACTGAGGAAGGGGGATAGATGTGCAATTAATAGGCACATGTTGGAGTGGATAAGAGGTGACAATGTGGAGGCTGAAGACTCCTCAAGGAGGGAATGAAACATTTGCTGCCATGGAAACAAGAATGAAAGGAGGGACCCAGGGAAACTCTAACATTGCTTGTGCAAAGGGATGGACAGACATATATTAGGCTGAGTGAGAAAAGAAAGCACATGCTCTAAATACATATTAACTATGTAGCCATTTAATGTAGAAGAACCCAATTTCCTTTGAGACAGGCTTCAGATGTGAACTGTATTTGTGCCTTCATACTGAAACCCTGGGGATTTATAATTCAGGCATCTGTTTTCAACTGCTTAATATTGGAAGGTATGCAATCATAAAATACTACTATATGAAGCTGCTTTTGAGGGAAGGCAAAATACACATTTTGAAATAAACTGTACAGTGTACAGGCATATTAAGAAAAAGAGAAAGCAACCATTGTTAACATGAAACAAGTTCTAAAGATTCTGTCCTGATGGTTTTTAAACTGATGTCCTTCTCTCTGCTGTGCCATGCCAAGAAAGCAAACATAAAATGTATTTATTTTATTTGCATTCCACCATTTCTCCAGTGCATTCAAGATTTTAAGATAGCAGCACATATAGGGTTATCTCATTTTAGCATTGCAAAAACTCTGTGAAGAATGGTAAGCTGAGAAAGAAAATCTGATCAAGGTCACCCAAGAAGCTTCATAGGTGGGTAGGCATTTAAACTCATCTCTGCACTCTAAACCTAGCCTTCTGCCCCATTCATTCTACCCTGACCATTGCTCAGATTTTAACAAATTGACCTAGAACAAGTTTCAACAGTTTAGAGAGGTTTGGAGTCAAGGAGAGTAAGCAAAGGCATGCTAATCTATGCACTCTTTCCCTCAGCCTTCATTTCACCTCTGGGTATGAAATCCAAGATAGGTATCTTCATGGCACTGATGGAATTACAGCCTGGGCCAGACCTTCCTTACCTCTTGGTGCTCAGGTAAATGGTAGGGCTCCAGAAGGTATGTGGCCTTTCCATCGGAGAAAACACCACTGAATAAGAATAGCAGAGAAACAATACATTAGTTAGTCAGCCATGTCAGATGCCCAAATACCTACCACCCCATAACTATGGGTTATTGGTGAGATTAGTTGCACCACTTTGCCAAGACGGGTTTTATGTCAGGATATGGGCTGGAAGCTTCCTACGCATGAGTTGCATGCCCTTAGAATTGCTGGAAAATAATATTCCCAAGTCCAGAGATAAACTCCTGCTTGGCAGTTACTCCTCAGCAATGTGTGGGCAGTGATATGCCAGTACATTCGCAGTATAACATTTCAGCAGTAATACGAATCTCCTGATCTCGTCTATTACACAATTTTCTAAAGTACTTGCTCATTTGTAAGGGATCCCAACATAAACACAGCATAAACAATAAGCATTTTAAGATATACATTTCACAAACTACAACATCTGGTTGCATGGCCTTTAGCTTGATGGAAACCCAACCTTCCCTTCAGTGGCTCGCCTTCTACCTTCCAGTGCTCACTACTTACTGCAAACCATGGCAGCTGGACAGACTTGCAAATGAGTTTGCTTCTCCACGGAGGCTGCCTTGATAATAACAGTGTTCACTGGCTCCCTGCAACAGAGCATACAAAGGGTATGGATGCCATGATGTTTCTCTCTGCATTTAAGGAAAGCTTTCTGAAGCTCATATAATACAGATGGGTTTGCCCTTCACACAGGGCTCTTGAAAGTCAAGAATCAGTAATTTGATGCCCCTTGGCTACCTCCAGTTCCTAAGGGGAACCACCTGTACCCCTTGTTGCAAAGGAACAAATGTGGGGAGAAACTGCTCTAGTAACAGATGCACTGGCAGGTCACCTGGGGATACAGTGACATTCTAGTCCGCAGTGGTCCTCCCTTAACATTGGAAAATGTAAGCAAAATTATTGGTGCTGGAGTTCAAGTTTACCTACATGATGCATTTTGTTCCCTAGCCTCACATACACAAGAGTGCTTTGCATTACACTTTGAGTTCTTTAGAAAAATAAAAAGGTGGAATATAAATCTAATAAATTAATAACATTTATCTGCAGTACTAGAGAAGGTCTCCATGGCTAAGCTCTGTCAGCTTAAGCTGTATAAGTTGCATCCAAATAATTACATTACATTTCAGTCTGAGGTTTTCTACTCAAGTTCTAATGCAGGTTTTGACCTATATGATCACAAAATAACTTTTCCCTAATATGAACATAGGATGTTGAGTTCAGACAGCACTATAACCGACACTCAAGGGCCAAGTATGGGTTGAGTGTACATTGTTGCTGAATTACGGGTTCTTATGTTGTCTGATCTTACCTGCACTAACAAAACATGGTTAGTTGATCTAGAACAACCTATCATTTACAATCCAGCAACAAACCATGGGTTCTCTTAATGGTTTGTTAGTGGATTAATAAACCATGGTTTATTAGTACTGCTGGATTCAGATAATACAATAACCAAGTTTCAACAACAAGGCACAGCTCCACAACAGTCCACATCAAGCCATACTCAACCTTTGAGAACTTGTATTGTGCTGTCTGAACTCAGCCACTGAATCAGACCACTGGCTCACCTGTCCAAGTAATGTCTACTCCAACAGGCAGTAGCTCTGCAAGGACTCAGCAGAAATTGTTCACAACACCTGACACCCATGGCGCTTTTCATCTGAACTTTGGACCTACACAGAGAAGCATGTGTTCTACTAAATGATGGCTCCTCCCAGTAAATCACCATGATCAGACAGATTTACCAGAATAATACTGAATGCTGACAGCAAGGACACACCAAGATATATTCCTAGTAGGTATTCTCCCCACTTAAAAAAAAAAACCCTTAGCCTGACTTTTGAGAATGAAGCTTAAGCTGTTTGTGGTTTGGCTCTTTGTGAGAAATCAGATGGTTTCAACTGGAGACAGTGTGGTTGTCAAATGCTTTTCAAATATAGACATTCAAGCAGAAGATCAATGGGCATCTGTTAGGGATACTATAAACACATCTTGCAATTTAGACCCTGCATTGAGCAGAGGGCTTTAACACCAAGGTCCATTCCAACTTTAAAGTTCAGTGATCCTGTGAAAAAACACACTAGACTCTTCATGAATGGTTAAAACAGGAGATAAGACGAAAGAGTGATAATAATGAAACTGGATAATTACAGACATGACTGAGAAGGTGGTTGGAGAACATAAGAAGTTATTTTGAAACAACAACATTATTTGCCAGTTCTGGAATAATAAATATAACTCCATAGGTAGTTCTGACTTATAGGCTGTTGTTCTATGCATGCTAGCACCCACTGAGCTTAACTAGGACCTGTTTCTAAAAATTTAAAGATCACACTGATAAGATGTTCTACCAGGTTAAATATATGTCTTATATTCCCCAGTTTTATATTTTCCCTGAACACTTTGGAATGGGGCAGACACTTGCTGTAAAGAGCTGGGTGTGCATTTTTGATTTCTATGTCAACTTCAAAGCACAAAATAGAGAAAGAAGATAGCCCTGCCCTAAGGAGGTCACACCTGAACAGCCCAGTTGGACATCATGGGGGAGGCATGTGTGTTCATGGGTCAACACTTGACACAAGAAGCAGCACACAGGTAAGGGCAGTGAACCTCTTCCCTGACTTTGCCTTGCTGTGCTGTACTTTTTTCCTCCAGCCCACTTCAACTGCAGGGCAATTCCAGAGAATAAGAAAGTTCTCCAAAGTAAAAGGATGCAGCCAGGTAAAGTGTGGGAAAGGGGCAGACTGACATCTCTGAGTCATGTATAAAGTAAACTCCCACTTACATATGGATGCACACACACACTTCATACATGACTGTTGAGTGGCCCCTGGCACATTCACTTGTGCAATGCCATAAGAAGGAGATGCATTGCAAAAAGTGGAAAAGAGAGATAGATTTGTATAAATGTGGCATCTGCTAGTGCATATCTATGGAAAGTTATAAATGATTACTATAAATTAAATAGAAATAAACTTCAGCCGAAACAGAAGGCTAAGGGGGTAGCTAACATCTTTGTAAGTCTTGCAGCTACATTTGAAGAGTGGGGTAGGTACTGCTAACGAAGTGCTTTCTGAAAGGAAGCTGAGGCAGAAAAGTAGGCAAGCCAAATTGGACAAAGCTGATTGAGAGAGGAAAGACAGCAGTGAGAGGATCAGCAACATGTTGGGAGACCAGAGCTGAAAGTGAGGGATGAACAAGGGCAGGAGACACTTGAAGCTAAGAAGAATGAGGGTTGAGGGATAACAGAAACATGGTCAGCATGGTCTAACTCATCTGGAGAGTGCCAGGTTGCAGAAGGCTATTCTACAAGGACAAATGGTGATGGATTAAATATGAGGATCAGAGGAGGGACACATATCAAAAAATAAAGCTGAAGTGATGTTGGAAATACAAAGGCTGTTAATCCACTGTATCTACTTTCAGTTTCAGCATGGAAATTCTTAGTGTTTCCTTTTTTAAAACTATGCAACCTCTAAGTCACACAGCAGTATAGCAGAATAGCAAAAATACCCAAGTGAAAAAGTGGTTTCTTTTGCTTTAAGGTTTAAATGCCACATTTTCCCTGCTCTAAAAATATCCTCTGTGAAAGTGCTCATTAGACATAGAAATGAAACTCAACAGACATGCCATTGTCTAGAGGGCCCATAAACAACTGTGAATAGGGAATTATGAGTGCACAGTAAGATGCTTTATGTAGAGAAGTCCAGGGAGCAATTAGGAATGGGAGATTATGCATTAAATGGAATGTTGCTCACTACCAGTTGACTAACAAAGGGTGTGTTCAGATGTGCATCTTCCAGCGCGGTACATAATTATGAACAAGCAGACAGACATACAATTGTACCTCTTGCTGGTGAAGAGGAGTGCCTGCCTGTTCTCTGGTGCTCTCTCCTTCCTCTCCTCACCTGTTCCTTTTCATGATTCAGTTGTTCACATGTATCCCTGAACAGGCTGTTTTTCAAGGTTGCTGCAGTGCTACAGGCCAGCAAACAAGCCCCCTCCCACTCTTTTGCATGTCTGGGTATAAAAGACAGCATGACAGGGGAAGCCATAGCTCCTTGCAAAACAAGGGGTAAAGATCTGGTTACAGCTGCTTGTGAGCATGTATGTGACCATCTACTTAGCAAGCATTTAGCATTTGGATGCTCAGCTTGTGAGCCTCTCTTTTGCACCAATTCCTGGCTTGAGAGCAGGGTTATTTCAAACACTCATTCACTATTTCTCAGATCCAGCATGTGCAAACCACCTCTTTGCTCTTGCAGCTGCAGAGCGTAAGAAGCCCTCCTTCCCTCAACAGTCTTGCCACCACCCCACCCCAGTAGTACCTTTCATATTTTAGCAGATACCAGAAGAGAGAAAGGTCTTAGTGTGACTGCAAATCATGCAGGCCATAAGAAAACTAGCCAGAAACAATGGGCTAATTAAAAATAAAGAAAGCTATGCCCTGTTTGGAAGGCCTATTTTGCCTAGCCCTCTGATCTTAGATTTTGGAGACTTAATTATGGTTAGTGGTAAGGAATAGGTACTCAATGCATGCCTATTTGAAGCTAGCAAAGCCTCCATAGTCCATTTCCCCTTACCGTGGTATAGCTGGCATTTCCATCCTGTCCAAAATGACGTTCTATATAATGCGAAGACAGCAGGTAGCTGATGAGAGAAGGGAGAATATTCATGAAGACCACCACTGATGTTGGAGATTATACACCCTCTACTATTCCCATTCGTCTCTCATGGAACCGTAAGGACTGAAGAAGCCAAGACTTTTGAGCAAGTAAGTCCATCAAAGGCTGTGCCTATGGACTTCCATTTACTCATTCCCCTTTGCCCAGGTTACTGCTAGCATCCAGTCTCTAGCCAACCTGTTTGGACAAATTCAAGAAGTGAAGACTATCACTGGCTATGAGTCTTGCATTTGGCCTAGGTCTATGTGCTTTTTCCATGATCAGGCATATGCTCACACACACCAGTTGTTGAAGAATTTGGGCAAGTGGAACTCTTGCGCCCATCCTGTCTGAGGGATGCAATGTACAGCTGGTTGGTTTCCATGTGAAGAAAGGACCAGACTGGATGTTCCATTGGTCTGACCCTGCATACCTTTTCTAAGGTTTGCTCAGTATGTGTGCACATCAGCTGCACTCAGCGCTGCCCTACTACCCACACCAGTGTGGGTGTGGGAAGTTCTATTTCTCCTTCTTTGGATATTGCTCATGTGACCCTTGGCACTCCAACTTGCCAACAACTAGCTCATCTAGTCCTCTCCATCAGATCACTGAATATTCAGACCCTGTCAGAAAGGTTCAGGCCAGGAGGTTCCTTAGAGGAAAAGGGGATTGATGTAATCCAGCCATTAGGAATCAGTTTTAACTGCTCCAGAATTCTGGTTTGAGAAATAACAAAGCTCTCCTCTCCCCATTACAGATGGGTGGAGACTGCCTGTGATTTCTTGGTTGTGATGGCACTGGCATTCTACCAATTCAGTCACAGAGTGTGCCCCCCTCCACTTGTTGTCCCAAGGCAAATCCTAGCACTGAACATACATTTTGGAGCTACGAGTAAGTTCTGTTTCAGCTAATGTTAAAGGCTCCTGAGCTCCCAGGAGAAATTGGGCACTAGCAAGGGCTGAAACGCAATTACATCCCATGCTGGTTAATCACACAGTCTCTGGTTGCAGCCCAAGGCTTATCAGCCACCTCAGCTTACAGTAACCTGGTGCTTAAGCTTAATTTACTTACAGGATGGAATGGGATGGACAGAAATGCTATTAAATATGCAAGGGCATGCACCTAATCTCAGTGTTCAGATCCACTGCTGTCACAGAGCAGGGATACAGAAACCATCACTACTAGGGCAAAAGTTCTTAATTTTACAGGCAGATCCTGCTGGGATCTTAGCTAGGAGCCACTGAACAAGAAAGATATCTTAGGATTTTGATGGACAGCTGGATGAAAATGTGGACCCAGTGTGCAGCTGCTGTGAATAAGGCAAATTACATGTTGGGCATAATTAGGAAAGCAAATGGAAATAACATTTTCAATATCATACTTGCGCTATAGAAATCCATTGTGAGACCACACTTGGAATAGTGTGTACAGTTCTGGTTACTACACTTCAACAACAATCCTGTGCAACTAGAAGAGGTGCAGGAAGGGACAATCAATAGCAGCTCCCCTGGAGCAGATCCCCGGGAAGCACAGTTACAACAGTTGAGAAAAGGGACAAGTAAGGGGAGATATGACAGAGATACATGAAATTATGCATTGTGTGGAGAAAGTGGATAGCAAAATATTTTTCTCCTTCTCTCATAATCTCATAATATTAGAACCTGGGGCCATCCTATCAAGCTGAATGGCTGAAGATTAGGTTAGATAAAAGGCAACACTTCTTCATGCAGCACATTGTCAAACTGTGGATTTCATTAGCACAAGGTCTAGAGATGGCCACCAATTTGGATGGCTTTAAAGGAGGATTAGATAAATCCATGGGGGATCTGATTACCAAGAGCTACTAGGCATGATAGGTTTGTGCTAGCTCTGATATCAGGGACAGTGCGCCTGTGCACACCGGCTGTTGCAGAACACAAACAGGACGGCTCTGTTGCACCCAGGTCCTACTGGTGAGCTGCTTGTGTGCATCTGGTTGCTGGGCACACTGCTGGGCTAGACAGACTTTTCGGCAGATCCAGCATGGCTTTTCCTATATTCTTACATCCCACAGACATAAAAATTTATGCAACATACAACAATAAATCAGCTTGTGCTGTCCCAGACATTCCCACAGTACTGTCCTACACAGCTATTCACAAATTTACACCTATCCATCAACACCAACTTTCGACACACAGAGACTGGCCAGCTATTGAATTTAGGAGCTCTCTGGATTTTCTTTTTTTTACATTCACACTCTTCTTGTGAACATGCTTTTGGGCACAAAATCTCACCCTCATTTGTTCAGTTACATAGACAGATGGATGCCTAACATTTTATCAGACTGGCACAGTCAGTCAATCTCAAACACAAACTCAGATGGATATCACCAAAAATACACTCATGAACAATGTTTCAGTCATAGCCTCTAACTTTCTTCTTCTATATTTATACATTCTCTCCCTCTCTCACACACACATATATTTCAATTTTCAATTTATTTTTCAATTTATATCCTGCTTTTTTCCTACAAAGGGCTCAAGGCAGCTTACATCATTCTCCTCCTCCATCTAATCCCCACAACAACAGCTCTGTGAGGTAGGTTGGGCTGAGAGTCTGTGACTGGCCCAAAGTCACCCAGTTGGCTCCATGGCTGAGCGGAGACTAGAACCCAGATCGTCTGAGTCCCAGTCCCATGCTCTTAACCACTACACCACACTGGCTCTCAGTATACCCCACATAAGAACAAAATCACATACTCACATTTTTACAATAATCAAGTTACTTTCGGAGGTACATGCTGTAGCATAGTTTGAACAAGAAATCACTGGAGTGTAGCCTCCAGATCCTGTTTGCATCACCAGCTCCAGAATATGACACAATAGAGTGCCTCTGCACAACTACAGAGTGACTTATCCTACCATTGAACATCTATAGCTTGCCAGAATTTATCTGAGATTAAGAGACAAGGAAAGCCAGTAAAAAGAATAACTTGTAGGGAGACTTGAGCTCCAGCACTGAAATTAGGCAGGGTTTTGATACATTTTTGAAAGAACTATTTCATTTGTTTAACCAACATGGAAAGTGTGGCACAGAAGCTGTAATCTACAGCCAGTTTATTGCAAAACAGTTTCATAAAAGGGATTGGTCAAGGCTGGTGCAAATGTGTAGTGGTACAACTCTCTCACAATACTCCATCACATAAGCACAAGCAGTGGAACATTGCACCCACACTCAAATCTTGCTGTACCTATCACGGCCTGCCACCAGGAATACAAAATTAGCACACAGATGCACATTCACTGTGGCTGTTACCCTGCCAGACTCAGTTGCAGACATACAGGTACTCAACCATATCTGGCTTTACAGGTCCCTAGATCAGGAACACACTCCATTTTTCATCCCAAAGGTCAAATCCTTTTCCTTGTCTTCAATCTCACGTGGAAGATCAGAGATAAAGGAACCTGCTGGCACTAGCACTAGCAACGGAAACCCCAGAAGGATGCAGTGGACTGCCACCAGTGGTGTGCAGGCTGCAGGCAGCCCAGAGGTTGCACAATTTGCAACCCTCACCTAAAGGAAGACTCCCCTATGCAGTCTCACACATCTACACAAGGGAGCTCCTTTCATTAGAGATAAGTCTGCTTTCCCAGGTGCCATAAAATCTCTTTAATGAGGTATTTGTCTAAGTTGGGTAATTGTTAGAGAGGTAACACAGTTGTTGCTTCTTTTTGGCTTATGATTTGGCAGTGCCCTTTGAGAGGGGAGGTCATTATGCGAATAATTTTTGTATTGAAACACATCTTCCTATTTACTGAGGCACATGCTCTTATAAATTATCTATCTGCTTCCTGGAAGTTAATGCATGATCAGCATAAAAGGATTCTCCATGCTCTTCTGACAGCTAAAAGACTGATATTAGAACATAAGAAGGATAAATGCTTACCTCCAAAATGCAGTGGATTAAAGACCTTACAATGCTTTCAATAATTGAACAGGTAGTTTATAGCAAACAGATACTTGGACATTTGGTCTATTTTTGTTGAAATTTATATACAGCTCCTAGAAATCTATATTTTCCATACATACACATATATTGTGCACAATGTGTGCATGCATGGGCGCACACACACAGAGTGAGCATCAAAATCAATATTGTCCAATTTATATGTAGTCACATTTTGATATTCAAAACTGATATAATCAAATTAATATACATTCATATTGATAGTCACATTTTACTCCCCTTCTTTTTTGCTATAATTTTACAATAAAAATAAGTTAAAATAATAATTTGAGCCTAGATGCTATTATCCCACATCCAGTTTCTAAAAACACCTTGAACTGAGATTGATATTTATAGTGGAACCAAAAGACAATTAGCAAAGCAATGATAATTGTATCATTACCAGTTATTGCTGCTGTGAGTGGCTACTGTGCTTATCTTGTACACACTTAAGCTTTATGCCAAAGAGTTATAGTCTGCATCTCTTGCACTTGGCCCCACTGTGTACATTTTTCTCTCTCTGCCCATGAAGTAATATTTTTGCCAATGAGGTCAATATTCCATGCATCTGATGTAGGAGACTTTACTGCAGACGTGAGCAGAAAATAGATCAGGATTGCTAGTAGACTGAGTAATTTGCAGTTGATCAGCAAAGTTTTTTTCAGCACCCCAATTTAGAAAATTCAAAAAGTAGGAGAGGTTGGAAGTCACTTTCTCTCAGTAAAACAAGCATGGAGCTCCATGTCCATCCCTGTGCAGATGCTGTGGGGAAGAAAATGGGGGTGGACTTGATGACATTACAGAGGAGGTACTTGGGGTGAAGACCCACTTCCTTAATGTCATCCAGCTGCTGGCTTGGTCCAAGGGAACAATTCAGCCTCCAGACTGAATTCTGTTGTCTGCCTCTGGCTTGCAAGCAAATCTTTTCACACACAAATCTACTGCCAGCAGAAACAGCCTCCTCCTTCCCATTCTGCTCACAAGGCAGTTAAGAGTGTAAGCAGCAAGAGAAGGGATTTGGCCTTAGCAGGGGAATCCACTGTTATCTTCAATCTGATCCACTGGGAGGACGAGCAGCATGCCAGGGAGTCCCTTGTTATACCAGAAAATCCCTTATTATCCCCAGTCAGAGACTGGAGGTAATATGGGGATTCCTTTCTTGAGCACGTGGCTCAGTGGCAGGGGTGAGTTCGAGGACAGAGAAGAACAGGCCCGACACAGGGTATCCAGGCTGGGCTGGGCAGCATCCATGAGCTGTGTTAGGCCTGCAGCCTGGAAGTTGCCCTCTGCTGATATAGAGCAAGCATGCGCTCAGACGTACTTTGTTCTACAAGCCAATTCTACTTTCCACAGCCACTAATTTGCACTTGGACCTCAACATCCTAGCATAAGCTATGTAGATGCAATATCCCTAAAGTCAAGTGATAAATCTTATGCCATAACAAATTGCTAATCTTTGAGAAGCCACAAGATGCTCTGCCTTGTTAAGAAACAGGATGTCTAGAAAAAGCTTGTCTGGAGGTGCAAGCAACAGTTTGCAAGCAAGGTGCAATGAACAGAAACACATATTGCAATTTGCCTTAACATCTGCTACTCAGAGATACACTACCATTGCCTGGGGAGGTTTCGTGCTGATATCATATTGATTCATCACATATGGAGGTTTCATACTGATAAGCTAATAACCATAAATGAACTCCAGCACAAATTGTCTAACTTGTTTTTAAAGCCATCTAAGCTAAAGTTGTGGCAGTGAATTCTGTAAGTTAATTATGCATCATGTGAAGCGGTGCTTCCCTTGGTCCGTCTTGTTAATTTTGTTGCATGGTCCTTAAACCATGGGGAAAGTTCTCTTGCTATTCTTTCTACCAATTACTCTCCATCATTTCAACTGCACCTTTTTCTATTTGTTAACAACTGTTACGAGGCAACCATAACCAGAGTGTTCTGAATAAGACCAAAAATATACTGCTTACACTTTCAGTCCCTTTCCTAATAATTCATGACAGTTAATTTGCCTTTTGCTTTGCCACCACACTGAGCTGCGGTTTCTGGTAAGCTCTCTGCTTACGATATGACCCTGAGATTGAATTTCTCAGTAGTCAGGGACAGCTTAGGAAAGAGGTCTTGAGGCATTGTGGCACAAAAAAGGGTCTCCTTCATTAAGAGTCACACTACAGGGTTGACAAGACTGCATGCTGTAGCTCCGGCTGGACTGTCCCACTCGCTGAAGCAGATGCAGGCACCACACATGACCCAGCAAAGCTGACTTGGGCTGAAGGACACTGCTGGCCCCTCCAGCACGATACCATTCTACTCTGATGAGCAGTGGCTCCCAAAAGTCTCAGGCAGGCCTTTTCCAGCCCTGCTACTGAAGAGCTTTTTTGCTGATCTTGAAACTAGGATCATGTACATGAAAGCATATGATTTGAATGCTCCCCCACATTAACTTTCCCACAACCCCAGACAACCAGTATATCACAGAGCAGAGATTACAGCCTTCTCTCTTATAGTACATGTTACATTTCTATGCGTAGTGGGCTTTGTTTTTTAAAATGTGGAAGCACATGACTTCCCCCTTTCCTAGATTCTGAAGTACCATAACCTGTCATGTACAGCCCCATGCATCCTGCTCCTGGTCCCATTTGCCTGAGATGGATTTTCACAACGGAGCTGCAGGGTTCCGACCCACCAATGCCACCCCCTCCCCACCTCTCCCAACCCTCTTCCACTTTTCTCATGCACACGTATGAGCTCTTGCATCTGGACCTGCAAGGGCATCACCCATAGAGGATACTTACTGATTCAGTTCAAGGTCCAAGATGAAGGCTGACCCAAAGGCATGGATTAGGAAACTCACCTGGGCCAGATGTAGAACCTAGGGGAAACAGAGACAGTGGTGGGATCTTCTTTGGCACTTGCCTTTATTTTAAATGCATAGGTGAAAGGGCATTCAACAATATAACTTCAACATCTAAGTGTAACTGCACTAAATGTAACTTCCTACTATCTTCCCCACTTTCTTGGGGTTGGGAGAGAAGGGCCTGAATTTTCTTACACAACTCTGTAAAATGTGACACATTTATTATAAGTTTAATGCTGTGTTTCAAAATAGTCTTTTCCCTATTTTAGCTCCTTGGATATTTATCTCTTCTTTTTAAATTATTTAAAATAATTATAGATGCTTTTAAAACTTAAAAATGTGTTTTATCATTTGTAACTGCATGTATTTCTATTGTATTGCCTTGAGATCTTCAGCTATAGAGATCTCATGTAAATGCATAAAGTACACTGATGATGTTGTAAAAATTCGGTTTTACTAAAATTTAACAGCTTCTTTCCTATTTTGCTTTTATAGATATAAAGATATTTCTTATTTATTTATTTAAAACTATTATATGCCGTCACCACATGCCTCAGCATCTTGGGATGGCTTACAAACGTACAATTAAAACCGATAAAACAGTAACAATTCCATAAAATTATATAAAAACAAAAAAGCAACGGTTAATGATAAAATATTAATTTTTAAAATAGCAATTAAATAAAAAGGTTTTAACCTGGCACTGAAATTACTATTCATTCAACATTTCACAGTGGTTTAATTAAGTCCAGTGGTTTAATTAAGAGGTGATATAAGCATCACCTCTTACAATGCATATCTCTCTGTGCATTTGTTGTTGTTAGTCGCGCAGTCGTGTCTGACCCATCGCAACCCCATGGACAACGCTCCTCCAGGCCTTCCTGTCCTCCACCGTCCCCCAGAGTCCACTTAAGCTCACACCGACTGTTTCAGTAACTCCATCTAGCCACCTCATCCTCTGCCACCCCCTTCTTCTTTTGCCATCTATTGTTCCCAGCATTAGAGTCTTCTCCAGGGAGTCCTTCCTTCTCATTAGGTGGCCAAAGTATTTGAGTTTCATCTTTAGGATCTGGCCTTCTAAAGAGCAGTCAGGGTTGATCTCCTCAAAGACTGACCGGTTTGATCACCTTGCAGTCCAAGGGACTCGCAGGAGTCTCCTCCAGCACCACAACTCAAAGGCCTCAACCCTTTGGCGCTCAGCCTTCCTTATGGTCCAACTTTCACATTCATACATTGCAACTGGGAAAACCATAGCCTTGACTATACGCACTTTTGTTGGCAGGGTGATGTCTCTGCTTTTTAGTATGCTGTCTAGATTTGCCATAGCTTTCCTCCCCAGGAGCAAGTGTCTTTTAATTTCTTGGCTGCAGACGGGGACTGCAGC